TCTGTCTGTAGGTGCATCAATGTTTATACACTTACTTTTCCTGCACTGAACCTTTTATTTATATACAATGTCTTCGTCTCTTGTACGAATTTTGATGTGAAGTTATCTTGTCCGGTGTTAAGAGAGCCCTCCCCTCTTCAGGTTACATTTGCATCGAATACCTTTCTCATCCTTTCACTTTCTGTCTTGGTCTCAGGGAGTCTCCAGCAGACAGCCTACAGCTGGATCATGGCTTTAACCCATTCCACTCATCTCTTTTGATTGGAGAGATTAGTCTGCTTCTATTTAAAGTAATTACTGGGCCTGGCTGGTGTGGCTCAGTGGATTGAGGGTTGTCCCATGGACTGAGAGGTCTGGGTTCAATTCCCAGTCAAGGCACATGCTGGGGTTGTGGGCTCGATCCAGTGTGGGGCGTGCAGGAGGCAGCTGATGATGTTTTCTCTCTCTTCCCTCCTCTCTTTCTAAAAAATCAATTAGCCCTGGCCAGTTTGGCTCGGTGGTTACAGTGTCGGCCTGCAGTCCAGAGAGACCCGGGTTTGGTTCCCGTTAAGGGCATGTACCTCAGTTGCAGTTTGTCCCCGGCCCTGGTTGGGTCGTGAGAGAGGCAGCCACTCGATGTGTCCCTTTCATGTCGATGTTTCTCTCTCTTCTTCTCTCTCCCTCCCACGCTATCTGAACAAAAAATGAAACACTGTCCTCGGGTGAGGATAAAAAAAACATTAAAGCCCTGGCTGATTTGGTTCATCAGTTGGAGCATCGGCCTGCAGACCAGAGAGTCCTGGGTTTGGTTCCCGCTAGGGGCACGTACCAAAAATAAAAAAATTTTTAAAAATAATCAATAAAGCCGGGGACGGGGTAGGGGGGATGGGGAGGAGGATGTCAATGGGGTAAAAAAGGAGAAACATCTGTAACAAAAATAAAATTAAAAAACTTTAAAAATAAAAATAAATTGCCCTGGCCAGTTTGGCTCAGCAGTTAGAGCGTCGGCCTGCGGTCCAGAGAGACCCGGGTTCGGTTCCCGCTAAGGGCACGTACCTCGGTTGCAGTTTGTCCCCGGCCCTGGTCGGTCGTGCGGGTGGCAGCCACTCGATGTGTCCCTTTCACGTCGATGTTTCTCTCTCTCTCTCTGTTCCTCTCTCTCCCTCCCACTCTACCTGAACAAAAAATGGAAAAATGTCCTCGGGTGAGGATAAAAAATAAATAAATAAATAAATATAAAAATAAATTAATTTTAAAAAACATTTAAAGTAATTACTGGTAAGGAATTTTCTTTTTCTTTAAATTCTCACCCAAGGATATTTTTCTCTTTATCTTCAGATAGGGTGGGAGGGAGAAAGAGGGAGAGAAAGGGAGGAAGAGACACATTGGCTGGTTGCCTCCCGCACAACCCTGACCAGGATAAACCACAACCCAGGTACATGCCCTCGGCCAGAACTGAACCCGAGACTCACTGGTCCAAGGGCTGATGCTCTACCGCTGAACCAAACCGGCCAGGGCTAGTTGAATTTTTTTATTTATTGCTTTGTAGAGAAAGAGCGAGAACATCGATTTGTTGTTCCACTTTATTCACACATTTATTGGTTGCTTTTTGTATGTCCCGAGAGGGAATGGGACCTGCCACCTTGGCATATTGGGACAATGCTCTAACCACCTAAGCTATCTGGCCAGGGTCTGTGTTTAGTTGATTTTCATCAGGAAAACTTTGAAATTCCCCTCATTTCCTTTGGTGTGTATTCTACGGCCGTCTTGTCGTTACCATGGTGTTCCATCGAACATCCTGAAGCTTTAACACTCATTTAAATGGGTAGCAGCTTAGCTCCAGTAACAACATCGGCCCCAGAGCATAGACCGATAATCATTTCAAATGCATTAGTCTCCTAAATTATGTAGAAAAGATATGGAGTTAGAAAACCAAGCTACAGTAATAGTAGCTCTTACACTAATCATTTTTTCTTTAAATTTACTAGTTCTTAAATCAGGTAGAAAACAAAAAGTTACAAACCACTATTATAATAACACAACTTTTGTAATTGCCTGTGTGCTTATATTTATAGAGATTTTGGTTTCTCCAACTGGTTTTGAGTTACTGCCTAGAGTCATTTGTGGCCCACGGGAATCCTGTGTCTCCTGCAGGGCAGGTCTGGTTAAGAACTCTCTCTGTTTTTGTTCATCTGGGAATGTTTTCATTTCTTCATTTCAATCGATTGCCTCTCGTACCCATCCAGACCAGGATCTAACCCAAAACCTGGGCATGTGCCCTGACCAGAAATCAAACCAGTGACCTCTTGGTGCATGGGACGATGCTCAACCACTGAGCCACACTGTGGGTAGGTCTTTCTTATTTATTTAATCCTCACCCGAGGATGTTTAGAGAGAAACATCGATCCATTGCTTCCCGTACACGTCCCAACTGGGGATGGAGCCCGAAACCCTTCCATGTACCGACCGAGCCACACCAGCCAGGGCCACTGGGTCTTTTTCTGACAGTTTCTGTGGATTTTTTCCTGGGAGTGGACCTATGTTCCTGTTTCTTTGTAGACCTTGTGACTTTTTTTTGTTGAATAGTGGACATTTGTATTTAATAACACAAATCTGGGAATCAGACTCTTCCCCTTCCCCAGGGTGTTATTTTTTTATTGTTGTAGAATGTGGATCAGCCTACGTGATCTTTTCTGAGCTGTCCCTGGTCACGTACAGACACTGTCTAATTCTCCCTGTATGTGCAGCTGTTTGTGTTTTTTAAAAGTATGTTTTTATTGATTCAGAGAGAGGAAGGGAGAGGGAGAGATAGAAACATCAATGGGCTGCCTCCTGCATGTCCCCTCCTGGGGATCGAGCCTGCAACCTGGGCAGGTGCCCTGACCGGGAATTGAACCCAAAACCTTTCATGTACAGGATGACGTCCAATCAGCTGAGCCTCAGGAGCCCAGGGCTATGCAGCGGTCTCTGAATGCCCTTGTTTGTACGTCTGGCTCCTGGTGAGAGCCAACAGTGAAGAATGAAGGGGCATAACTTCCCTGGACAAAGCTGGAGGGTCTTACAGCAACGGCTGTCCCGTCTGCACCTCCGTGACCAGAAGCAGCGATCAGATCCACATGTGGAGAACCGGTTCCTTGGTGCCGCCCCCCAGACCAGCGCCCATGAGCTGTGTGCGGGCTGCCCCAGGCCAGCTGCATAACCCTCAGCTGGGAGTAAGAAACCGGCAGGTGCTAAGAGGTGAAAATGACCAAAGCAACCCAATGTACACAAGAGGAAAGGGCTCCTAGTCCAGGCTGGGGGTCAGAAAAGCTTCCTGGAGGACGCGGTACCTGGCAAGAAAGCTTCTACGCTCAGGGCTGCCAAACGTAGCAAATGAGGAGCAGGGCACACGCTTGCCTCGAGTTGCAGACGAACAACACGGAACCTCGTGCTGCGTCGGACACTGGTCGCGACCTACCTACACTGAAAGTGAGATGAAGCTGTGGCTGAGAAGGAACAGGACAGGCTGAACCCAGCTCTCACCTCAGGCCCCAGGTCAGGCCCACACACCTGAACACCCTCTCACTCTGCCACTTGGCTGGGTGGAGAGAGGCCGGCAGCATCCACTCTGAGCCGATGTTCCCGTCTGTGAAGTGGGTGGGCGTGTGGGTGTCAAGGCCTGAGGGTGTCTGGGGTCCAGCTGCACAGCCCTCCTGGGGAGTATAGACTCGCCCTGCTGGGTGACACCTCACTCGAGAAGCCCTGCGTTCAAAGGGGTGTTAGTTGCAGAGACCTGTGTGCACGGCCAGTGCAGGGTGTGTCCCCCACAGGACCCTTGCCAGGGCGAGACCCCGGAGGAGGCCGAGAGCAGCGGGGTGCCTCCCGGGAAGTGGGGCACCACAAGGGCTGCTCTTGGGACAGGACGGAAGCCCCCCAATGTGCCTGCCCTCTAGCTGAGCCATGGCCACACGCGCTTACTGCCTCCCGGTGGGCTTGTGGATGAATGGACACCGAGCTCTGTGATGTCCTGGGAGGACTGAGTCGGCCACACGCCCCCCTGTACCGCAGGAAGGCAGCTGGCCAGGCATCTTCCCTTCCAACGAACAGTTTCCTGCTTTTCCATGTAAAAAGGCTGTGACCAGCACAGGACAGGTGACTCAGTGTCCCTGCCGGGAGGCAGGACGTCCCAACGCCTTTCTGGAAAAAGATGACGTTTGGCACAGGCACCTCCCTGCTTGATCTCTATTTCAAGCTGTCACCATTTCCTCCTGGGAACGGTGCCTCTGGAGGAGACCAAAGTCCCAAAACCAACCGATGCCCCAAAAGCTGAGTCACTGATCCTGAGTCACGGACTCTGCAGATGGGGATCAGCGGGAACGGGATGGGCACCTGAACCTGCTCCTGCTCTGGGCCAGAGGTTCCGGGGACACCGCTGCCCACAGCGCTGAGGCATCGGACCGCGGCCTCCTCTGCTTAAAGACCAGCTGCACCTGTTTTACCTTTGAACTTTTAACATGTACTGTCATCTTTTCAAAAGTAAATCAAGTCAGTCTCTTAGCCTTCGCCCGTTTTCGTGGACATGAGGACTGTTTCCTCAGCTGGGCTCCCTCCCAGCCCCCGCAGGGCTTGCAGGACAAACGGATGCTTCGTGGGCTCTGAGGTGGAACGCGTTGAAGGCCAGGTCCTTTTTGTTAATCCTCACGCGAGGATGTTTTCCATTGGTTATTTATTTATTTATTTATTTATTTATTTTTATCCTCACCTGAGGATATTTTTCCATTTTTTTTACAGATAGAGTGGGAGGGAGAGAGAGGAAGGGAGAGAGAGAGAAACATCGATGTGAAGGGACATGAGTGGCTGCCACCCGCATGACCAACCAGGGCTGGGGACAAACTGCAACCGAAGTACGTGCCCTTAGCGGGAACCGAACCCGGGTCTCTCAGGACCGCAGGCCGACGCTCTAACCACTGAGCCAAACTGGCCAGGGCTTCCATTGGTTTTTTAGAGTGGAAGGGAGGGAGCAAAAGGAAAACACTGATGTGACAGACACATTGATTGGCTGCCTCTCACACAACCCAGACCAGGCTTGAGAGTGACACCAGCCACAGCGGAGACACTCACTGAACGGCGCTGACCTCCCTGCCACCAGGCCCGGTGCACCAGCCTGGAAACCTCCAGGCTCATCCGCTGCCCAGTCGGTGGAGCTACAGCAGGCTGGCCCTGCCCTCAGCTCCAGGCCCAGGGGCCTCCATGTGCTCACCAAGGACAGAAGCTCAGCATCAGACACGTCCAACCTGAGGGCGCTTCCTCATGTGTAAACAGAGCCATGTGGGGCCTGAATGAAATGCCTGGGCCCCTGGACATCCTCCCTCTGTGAACTCAGGGTGCAAGCACACTCTCCACAGCCTGGCCAATTCAGACCCTGCCAAGTGTCAGGTACTGCTCCATCTCAGGAAGGTACCTGGGCGTGACCAGCTCCCAAAGCGCCTGGGATGGCACCTGCCCCATGGTGGGGTGGACAGCAGGCCAGCCCAGGCACCAGTGCGAGCCTCCGCTGACATCCAGGCCCTGCCTACCTTCCCCACGCGGCGACCTCAATGCCAGGGATTCCTGCGCCTCCACTCCCACAGGACGCTCCCAGAAGGCTCAGCACGGAAGGGCCAACAACTCACGGGGAATGCGGGGCCCCCAGGCCTCCGCCCAGCCCCAAGCAGGGACACAGCCCAGAGCAGTCCCCTTCAAGAAGGAACATCACTGCATAAGCCCCAGGTGCCCAGTCTCCCACATCTGCCCTGGTTCTGGGACGCAGGCTCACGGGCAAGGGCAGGGAAACAGGAGGCTGCATCCTGTTGCAGAGCAGCTGTGTCCCGGGGTCCAGGCCTCGGCTCCTCGCCGCCTGGAAGGCCTAAGGCTGTGCCATCCACACTCAAGGGAACCCAGCAGGCGCTTACTCGGCCGCAGTGACTGCTGCTCCAAGGGCACCTGAGCCCCAGGAACACATGGGCTCCGGGCGCCGTCCTGGCTGCTGCCTCACCATGTGGGGATGGCACCCTGTGAGCAGCCTGGATCCCTGAAAATCCTCCCAACAGAACCAGAGCAGGGAACGCTGAGACCCAAACCCAATGTCCCTCCAATGCTGAGTCCTACCACACCCGATGACCGCCAAACGCCCAGCCTCGCCCCTGTGCACACCCACTGTGCTGAGACCACGGCCAGATTTTCCTTCTGAAACTCAGGTCCGTCAGACCTTCCCGACTGTCTCCGGGCCCCCAAGCCCACCCCAGGTCTTCCCCCCACAGCCTGGCCTCGTGAGGCCTGACAAGCAGGTGGAGGTGATCCCAGGGTGAGGGACACAATCAAGGGCAGTCAGCAGAGCCCCTCCACCAGGCAGCAGGAGCTGGGGGCCCAGTGTCAGGCCCTCACGGCCAAGCAGAGTGCAAAGCGCAATGCGTGTGGGTCCATCACCTCGCCCCCCACTGTGTGCACTCAGAACACGCACACAGTGCGGGTGGGAGCAGAGCCGCGCGGGAGCTTAGGACACTGTTCCCGGTGGCGAGGGGAGCGCTGAACCTACCACACTGGGGGCGGCAGCAGGCTCCAAATGAGGAAGGCCCGTCTTCCCTGAGGGTAAACTACCATTGTGAGCTTCAGAGCAGAAAATCATCAGCGTGACCCTGAAGAGGTCACAGGGCAGGTGTGGGCTGGAAAGAGGCCTGGGCAGTGCAGGCGGCTCCCAGGGCCAGAAGGCCCCAGGCAGCAGCGCTGCACGGTTGACCCCTGCTGGCCAAGCGCTGCACGCAGCAGGCAGAGCTGGTTCAGGTGGCAGGCCACCTTCCTACCAGCAGGAGGCCAGAGCCTAGGCAGCTGGAATCTTTATTGTCTTTAAGGCACAAAAGGCCAGCCTGGCAGCCCCGTGGATCTGGAGACCACAGAGTCTGGCTGCCTGGGAACCTGGGCCAGCAGTCCAGGCAGGAATTCAGTCCGTCTGGGAGAAGCCAGCTTCCCCGCTGTGCTCAGGCCGGGAAGACAGGAGGCTGCCTGGCCGACTTCAGGAGAGCACCCTCGTGGGTCTGCGCTTCTCTCCTCTGTGCTTGAAGCTGCGCAGTGGGTTCTGGGTCTTCGCCTTCTGTGGGAGCAAGGCCACAGGTCAGTTGGAGAATGCCCAAACTGAGACACTCTGACAAGTGGGTGTGTTGCCACTTCAGGGCCCTGCAGCCAGGAGGCTGGAGTTCTGGCGGGTTGTGGGGGCCACTCTCCTCCAAAGCATGTGCACACCCTGGTGACGATGGATGAAGTGGGGAGGGGAGCGCAGTTGTATCAAGGTCCGGGGGACATACCTTGACCTTCCTAGAGGACGGCTTCTTCCGCTTCTTGTGGGGGTGAACCAGGCCCCGAAGAGCAGGAGGAACTGAAAGAGACACGAGCCTCAGCAGCTGTGTCCGACCCCTGCCTGACCCCTCCTCACCTACACAGGCCCCTCGCTGTGATCCAGGGCTGACCCACATCAAAGTGCCTGCGACCGCACAGCTACTTGTAACTGGCTTGTTGCAATGACCACACAGGAGAAAACAAAGATGTATCTTAAAGAAGGAAATGCTGCTGAAGTGGGGAAATTGTGATTTTTCCACGTGATCTGTTACTACAAATTCATCCCAAACTGGTAGCCTCTCCCCACACATCCTTCCTTCACCTGTCAGACATGTCACTTCCCCCAACCTGCTGCAGGATCCTTGACCTCTGCCCTCACCTCCACCTGCCCTTGGCACGGGGCAGAGCCCCATCCAGCCAGGCCACACTGTCAGAGGGGCTCTGAGCAGCACTCTGCACCCCAGCCTGCCGGCCACACTGCGGACAAGTGACTCTGCTGCTCTGTGACAGGACGGGGCTCCCTCCTTGCTCTGCATGCCTGTCTCCACCAGAGAGCTACATGCACCGGGGCCACACAGCGAGGGGACCTGCACATCTGCGCAAGCGCCGCTGCCGCTCTCCGTGGTCCTGTCAGCCCAGCACACAATGCCGAGCACCACCATCCCCAACAGCTTGGGGCCTGCCCAGGCCCCACTCACCCAGGTAGTCGGGGACGTGGCCCAGGTGAGGCTTCACCACGGCAGGGTGCAAAGGCAGGTCATGGCGCAGCAGCTGGAGGTCCCTGGGGTTGTCTTCAAAGTATGTCTGACAAGGGAGAGACAATGAGCTGCAGAGTGTCTCCCCGTGTAATCTCACAGGCTTTCTGAGCAGGTAACGCGTGTTTAGAATGTAAAAGGCCGCGGTTTCCCACTGCCTCCCGACCACCCTGTCCTCTCCCAGAGGCAGCGGCTGGGGCACATGGTATCACAGCGCACCTCTTCCCCTGGCGCCAGCCAGATTGCCCCACACTAACAACAAACAGCGTCCACCTGTGGCGCACCACGCCCTGCTCTGGTCAGCACACCCCTGCAGGGGACACCCAGATGCTCCCACCTCTGGACTTGAGAACCCACGATGAACCTGGACCTGTGCATAACCATGCACGTTCACAGACACTGCCGTCGTGGGACAGATCCTCCTAGGAGTCTCCTGCCAGACCAACCACTGGCTCCCCGCAGGGCCCCCACCCGCCAAGGCCCAAGCACCAAGCTCAGCGCCTCCTCACCTTCAGCCTCTCCGAGTGCAGAAGCTCCTCCTTGATCTCCTTCAACCTTGCCTCTCGAATGGCTTGTTTCGTCACCGAGCGCATGGCGTCCTGGATGGACACGAGGGTCAGGACACGGGCTGCTGGGATGCCTGTCCCACAGGAACCCACTGCCGTCCCGGCTCACTCACCCTGCAGCGGTAGCGGAAGCCCTCAATCTCCTCCATGTGGAACTGGTAGGGGAGCAGGGCGGGGGCCCCGTGCTCTGTGGAGAAGCAGCAGTGAGCGGCCCCCGGGCTGTGGACCCACAGCCTCCCGCACCCCTCCCAAGGGTGAGGCAGCCTGCACCCTGCCACTCATTCCCTGGGACTCGGATGTGCACACACAGCATGAAGCCTGGGTCTCCCAACAAGCACAACAGTTCTCCCGGGTGCTGGAGCCGGGGCAGCCCCGTGTCCCCTGTGTCCTGGGTGCTGAAGCCGGGGCAGCCCCGTGTCCCCCGTGTCCCAGGTGCTGGGAGCCAGGGCAGCCCCGTGTCCCCGTGTCCCGGGTGCTAGAGCCGGGGCAGCCCCGTGTCCCCGTGTCCTGGGTGCTCATCACATCCCTTAGCCTCAGGGCCTGCCCAGCCACCCACTCTCCTCCCTTGGGGCCACTTTGGACCCTGTGCCTTTAACCCCCTAGTGGTGGGCAGCCCACCACCCCTCCTCCACTGTCCTTTTCTCCCGGCCTGACTGCCCCATGACAGACAGTGTCTTCTCCCAGGGCTGCCTCCTGAGACACCACCAGCCTTCTCCCCATTTCTCAAAACCCCTCCCCCACCCCCAGCCCTCCTGCCCCTAAACGTGACCCTGGACCTGGGCGTGCTTATCTGTGAACAGGGCAGTGCCTGGACCGCGGGCAGGACGAGGACGGAACGAGGGGCATGGGCAGGCAGGCTGAGCAGAGGCGGAAGCTGGTCACACCACTGTCCCTGCCCCATCGCCAGGTCCTAGGTGAAGTTGGGCCTGGCTCTTACCTCCACCGAGAAGCTCCTCGATCTTGCCCAGGTGGGACTGCTCCGTGGGCAGCACAAAGGTCAGGACTACGCCTGGGTTGTTGGCACGTGCTGTCCTGCAGAGAGATAGATGGCCCAGCCCATGTCTCTGGCCTGACCCCTAGGGGTGCCCACAGTCCAGGTGCCCGACCGTCATGACCGGGTCTCCTACCTGCCAGCTCGGTGGATGTAGGCCTCAGGGTTGGGGGGGAGGTCAAAGTTGAGCACAGCACACACATGGTGGAAGTCTATGCCACGGGCCACACCTGCCTCCGGGTCACAGGCCCTGCAGGGGGCAACCAATTGATGTGGCTCTCCCACACCGACTTACTTTCTCTCTCTCTCCCCCTCCCTCCCATTCTATCTAAAAATAGCAATAATAAAGTAAATAAGTAAATAAATAAAATTCAGAACTGTTCCAGGAGCTGGGCACAGGGGGCGGCCACACCCTTGCCCTGACCTCAGCTCTGGGGCAACAGTGGAACTCACTGTCCAACAGGCTGATGCGAGAATCCCATCAGAAGACAGACTGCGGATTCCCTTCCCCCCAGGAACATCCTCCCCACACGTCACAGCTGCACCCAGCGCAGGCTGGGCCACCTCCCCTGGCCAGTGTGCCAACAGCCCAGGCAGCCTGGCCCCTCGTGCTGCCAGGGGCCACTTGTGCCCTCACTCCCTTTCTCCAGGCCCAGCAGCCAAGCATGGGCTCTGTGGGCTATGCCAGCAGCCAGGCATGGCTCCCCACTCTGGCACTCTGGTCTCAGTCTTCCTGGGGAGTGCTGGAAGGACAAAAACATGGACTTACCTGTCCCCCTTGGGCCCTTTGCCCCGGTGCCTGCCTTTGACTGGGGCCCCCAGTACTTCAGTATCAGTTGCTATGACGCAGTCGTAGAAGCCTTGGTTGAACTGTGAGATGATGTGGCACCTGTGGCACAAGAGGGGCAGGTCAGCCCCAAGAGCAAGCTGGAGGCAGCTCATCACCCCAGCACCACTGTGAACATCACTCTTCTGCCTTTCCTCTTCTGAAACTCTTCCCCTGTTTATCTGTGAGTCAACCCCCTCGGCTAAAGACACAGTAGCAGCGGGTATCTCAGAGTTTGTGCCAGAATCACTGAGTATCTGTCAAGCCCAGAGCCTGGCCTTAAAGCATTTAAAAAACAGGAACGTTGCGCCCTGGCCAGTTTGGCTCAGCGGTTAGAGCGTCGGCCTGCGGTCCAGAGAGACCCGGGTTCGGTTCCCGCTAAGGGCATGTACCTCGGTTGCAGTTTGTCCCCGGCCCTGGTTGGTCATGCGGGTGGCAGCCACTCGATGTGTCCCTTTCACATCGATGTTTCCCTCTCTCTCTCTTCCTCTCTCTCCCTCCCACTCTGTCTGTACAAAAAAAAATGGAAAAATGTCCTCGGATGAGGATAAAACAAACAAACAAACAAACAAAAAAAACAGGAACGTTGCCCTGGCTGGTGTGGCTCTATGGTCAGAGCATTGGCCCACAGACCAGAGAGTCACAGGTTTGATTCCAGTCAAGGGCATGTACCTTGGTTGCACTTCATCCCCGGTCCTGGTCAGGGTCGTGCAGGAGGCAGCCAGTCAATGTCTCCCCCCCACCCCTTCCCACTCCAGCTGAAGATAAATAGAAAAATATCCTCCGGTGAGGATTAAAAAACAACAACAGGACCGTCAACTGAGTCTCCCCCTCTCTAATCCCCATCTTCAAGGAATTTCAAGTGAGACAGCAGCCACGGCCACCTGGAGCGCAGGGGGAGCTCGCCGTTGAGCACGCAGGTGGGAATGCTGAACTGCTCCAGGAACAGGCGCAGCCGGTAACTGCGCTCCAGAGTGTTGACGAAGAGCAGGGTCTTGCCCCGAATCAACGACAGCTTGAGGAGGGCGTACAGCAACAGAAACTTGTCCTCCTCAGTGTCGCAGACCACCTGAAACTGCTGCAACTGCTCTGGCCCTGGCAGCTGGGACTCTTGCAACTTGAGGGTAACCTGGAGGGACAGGCCTGGGGTCAGGAAAGAAGATAGAAATGCTGCCACAAGCCACTGTCTCTCCAACACAGAGCAAACATGTTAGTGCAGGGCACCATGGTCCCCTCCAGCTGGTATAAGGATTCAAAGGACCCTAACTACAGTGGGGTACAAAAGATATAAAACTGCACGCCAAGTATTTGGGGCACAGAACAAATAATAGTAAGGTGGGATGCTCACAGAAGCAGCCTTTCTCAGGAGCAGAGGCCACATAGAGACCTTTGGCCCTGCTGCTAACGGCAGCCCTTCTGTCCCTTGGGGGTCCCTGCTCAGGCCTTCAGACAAAGCATGGTCTACAACCTGGGAAACACCTGGAACCATACAGTGGTTTAGATTTGGCAGGATGTCGTTGACTGCTGGCTTCCTGTGCTTTAGAACCAGAGAGGCTGAACCAGCAAACATCAGAAGGCTCCTCTGAGCAGAGAGGATCAAGTCTTTGAGTGTCACATGTCAGCAACTCCAGACATCTGCACAGGGCACTCACCGGGTTATGCAGTACCAGCTCCTTGAGTGTTTGTACATCCTCATTAAAAGTAGCCGACATCAGAAAAGCCTGATAAATCCGGGGCAAGTGACTAAAACAAAACAGAGTTCCATCAGACTCCAGCTCCAAGGGCCTCTAAACTGTGGCAGCCGGACTTCTGGCTGCCTGCCCCAGGCCCAGGTGTCCACTCAAAGCCCCCACAAGCCTCCTCTTTACCAGAGAAGACTCTTGAGCTCTTCCTCAAAGCCAAAGGAGAAGAGAAGATCAGCTTCATCCATCACCAGCAGCTCCAGGGAGTCCCGCAACTTCAAGTTATCTTGCTGCAAGTGGTTTAATATGCGAGATGGGGTCCCCACCACTACGTCAGGCTTCTCCATCAGCACAGCTCTGCAGGCGGGCAACACCTCAGTGTTGGGAAGAAGGTACAGCTAGGACCTCACCTGGACCAGCCCCCTTTACTGCAGCACACAAACCCAATCCCACGTCACTGCGTAGCTTCACTCCCCTATAGTCCTGGTGCTTTCACCCACCTCTGAGAGGCGGAGTCTTCAGCGGCCGAGACATTGGCCACCCGGATGTCTCGGGCACAGTAGGCAGCCAGCTGCTGAATCATGCACTGGGCCTGCCGAGCCAATTCCTTGGTGGGCACAAGGACAAGACCACGCACAGCCTGCTCCACTGCCGGGCCAGTCTGCAACAGCACGAGTTAGACATTTCAGACAGCCAGTTCGTGTCATTCTGGCCACCTGGTGCTTTCTCTAACTCTTCCAGGCAATCTGACCCAACTGCTATGACTTCAACATGACTCTGCTTACTTCTCCCTACCTCAGAAAGTGGAACAGAGGGTTCTTTTCCCAGGCACTGACCCTCAAAAACAGTAACTTACTTTATGGTTATTAAGTTACTTAAAATAAACCAGTCAGAGGGCTAGAGTTTCACAATAGCGTATAAGTAGGAAGAGGCATATACCCAGTTTTTATAGCAAAAAGAAAAGACAGCTATTTATTGGAGAAGGGCCTGGGCTAGGACCCAGGTGGCCTGAATTCCAGCCCAGAACGTTTGCCACGACAGCACTAGGATCTCTGGGACCACCCCTCACAGGTAAGAAGCCAAAGAGAAAGCCAGGTTCTTGAGGAAGACTCATGACACGGCATGACTTTCCAAAAGGGCACGACTGCCCTGGCAGCGTTGGCCTGCGGACCAGAGAGGCCCAGGTTCAGTTCCCGCTAAGGGCACTACCTAGGTTGCAGTTTGTCCGCAGCCCTGGTTGTGGTCGTGTGGGTGGCAACCAGTCGATGTGTCTCTCTTGAATTGATGTTTCTCTCTCTCTCCCCCCCTTTCTCCCTCCTGCTCTATCTGAAGATACATGCAAAAATGTCCTCGGGTGAGGATAAAAAAATAAACAAAAGAGGGCACGACGGACACTGGGACGCCGGCATCTCCCTCCCGGCCCTTTGGGGCGGCCCGCGACCCACCGCCTTCCGGTGGAGCAGCAGCTGCAGCATAGGGATGGCATAGGCGGCCGTCTTCCCCGAGCCCGTGCGGGCCCGAGCCAGGAGGTCCTTCCCCTCCAGGGCCAGCGGGATGGCCTTCTCCTGGATCAGCGTGGGCCGCGACCAGCCCAGGTCGGTGACAGCCTAGCAGAGAGAGCGGCGGCTCAGACGCGCGCAGCCCTGAGGCCCCCACCACCCCGCGAGGCCGGCCCCTCGGCCCCCGTCAGCCCCGCCAGGCTGGCTGACTCCGCGGTCCCCACCACCCCGCCAGGCCGGCCCCTCGGTCCCCACCACCCCGCCAGGACGGCCCCTCGGCCCCCACCATCCCGCCAGGCCGAACCCTCGGCTCCCACCACCCCGCCAGGCCGGCCCCTCGGCCCCCACCACCCCGCCAGGCCGGCCCCTCGGCCCCCGTCAGCCCCGCCAGGCTGGCTGACTCCGCGGTCCCCACCACCCCGCCAGGCCGGCCCCTCTGCCCCCACCCCCGCGCCAGGCCGGCCGGAGCCCGCCACTACCTGCAAGAGCCGAGGGTCAAGGCCCATGTGTTCGAACCCCAGAGCCTCGGTGTCCGCCATCCTGGGGCTCTGTCGTGACAGCGCGCACGCGCGCCAGGCGCAAAGCCACAACGAGGCTCAAAGCAACAGCCAATCCGAGTCGGAGGAGCCGTCACTTCCGGAAGTGCTGGAGCCTAGGCTTCCGGTGTTCCGGCGGAGCTCTGCGGCTGCGGGCACGCGCGCGGTCCGGGTTTCCGGACAGAGCGGCGGGGGTCGGGGGTCGCCTGGGCGCCCCGCAGGTCCCCTCCCGCCCCCTGACGCTGCCTCCTGAGGCCGGCTGGGTGGGGGTTTCGTGCGGCGGGGCGGGGCTGCGTGGACGCGGGTGTGGTCCCTCGGCGCTCGCAAGTAGACCGGTGCAGGCTCCGGCGTTAGCATCGTTAGCGCGTCTTCGGCCAGCGTCGCCCTAGTCCGCAGGCGCCCCGGCCGTGACTCCCTGAGAACAGGTGCGGCCCGTGGTAGCTTCACGGAAGCGCCCTTGCCTGCCCAGCAGCCCGGCGTCGCTGTCCGGGCCTGGGAGCCGCTGCCCCACCTGCTGCGCTCGGGAAGAGCGCCCCGCGGGGGGCTCCGGGCCGGCCACCGGGACCCAGGAGCGGAGGCGGCCGGCGGCTTTCTGAGTAGAGCGCAAGGGACGGTGGGTGTGGCGGCACGCGGTAGAGGCCAGAGGCTGGCGGAGGTCCGGGCCACAGCCAGTCCCAGGGCAGGCCCCAGCGGTTGGACTGTGCGGGACGAGCGTCGGTAGAATGAGTCGCTCGAGACCAAGAGGAAGGGAGGTCTGTCTGGGGTTCCCAAACCTGGCTGCCCGTCACTTATCTGCACAGATTGGTTAAAAATGAGGATTCTTGCGGGCGGAACGGAGTGGCCAACGGCTTGCAGAGCAACAGGCCCAAGTTTTGTGACTACTGCGATGCATACTCACTCATGACTCTCCCTCTGAGAGAGACACTGCAGCGGTAGGAACCCGCCGAGAATGTGGCCGACTGCGGCCCCAGGTGGAGGGAGGAGCAGGCTTAGAGCCCGACTGATGAAACCACCGCAGCGTTTCAGCAGGAAAGATGCCTCCTCCTCCATTCTCCGCTCCCCCCACTGTAGGGGTGATACTCCCCCCTCCCCCTAGTCTTCCTATCCCTGATATGATGCCAGCACCCCATGGGAGCCCTCCCATGATGCCAATGACGGGTCCTCCTCCTCCTGGGTTTATGCCAGTGGGACCTACTCCTGGAATGAGGCTGCCAGTGGGAGGGCACCTGCCAATGATGCCTGGGCCCCCAGTGATGACTCCCACCTGTCCCATGATGGTGCCCACTCGGCCAGGAATAACTGGACCAGACAGATAAGGCGAGAGGGGGCACTCTTTCTAGCAGTTTTGTTTCACTTGTTCTGCTTTACCAGATCGTGGTGCTGTGACTTGCCCTGTTTTCTAACAGCACGACAAGGAAGACTCTTCCTAAGAGAATCGTTTGGGAAGGCAGTAGTGGGACAAAAAAAACAATTTTCATTTGTACTGTGAAATGTAAAAATAAAGTTGTCAGCTCTTTTAGTTTTAAAAAAAACAAAAACAGAGGATTCTTGCCCCCAGGTGTGTTTTCCTTGCCTCTTTCTCCTAAGCGCCAAGGGCCCTTTTTTTGCCTTTATAACTTTTTTTTAAATTAATTTTTTGTTTTGTTTTTTTATCCTCACCCGAGCACATTTTTCCATATTTTGTTCAGATAGAGTGGGAGGGAGAGAGAGAGAGAAACATCGACGTGAAAGGGACACATCGAGTGGTTGCTACCTGCCCAACCCAACCTGGGCCGGGAACAAACTGCAACCGAGGTACATGCCCTTAGCGGGAACCAAACCTGGGTCTCTCTGGACCACAGGCCGAAGCTCTAACCACTGAGCCAAACCGGCCAGGGCTGTTTATTTATTTTTAATTAATTTATTTTTGTTACAGATGTTTTTCCTTTTTCCCTCACTTATTCCTCCTTCCCCTCCCTCCCCACCCTGTCCCCACCTTTGTTGTCCATGTCCATTGTTCATACATACATGCATATAAGTTCTGTGGTTTATCTCCCCCCCGACTCCCTCTTCAGGGGATTGTCAGTCTGTACCCCACTTCCACTTCTCTGGGAGTACCCCGTTCCTCAGACTGTTATGTTCATTATATTTCACAAATAAGTGAGATCACGTGATATTTATCTTTCTCTGCTTGGCTTGTTTCACTTAGGAAAATACTTTCCAAGTCCCTCTCTGTCCTCTCAAAGGATAAGAGATCTTTCTTTCTTACAGCTGCATAGTACTCCATTGTGTATATGTACCACAGCTTTTTTATCCATCCGTCTACTGATAACTTGTTTACTGAACCCATTTCCCCTGTGGCTCACTTCTACCTCCGTGACTTTTTCTTTTTTTACATAGAATAATGCTATATTTAACAAGCTAAAAATATGTTCTTTTGGCTTTAAGTCTTGAAAAATGAGGGGTAAATCAAAGATTTGTTTCCTGTCCTCTGAGTTATGTATGGTTATGTGTATACATCTATAGATGTTTTTGCTTGTTATGGTCACTAACCCCACTTTAATTAATACATTAAGTTTTATTATAATAGTGCTAAAACCCGAATTAAATATTCCCTGAGCCCTGGCCAGTTTGACTCAGCAGTTAGAGCGTTGGCCTGCGGCCCCGAGAGACCCGGGTTCGGTTCCCGCTAAGGGCATGTACCTCTGTTGCAGTTTGGCCTTGGCCCTGGTTGGGTTGTGCAGGTGGCAGCCACTCAATGTGTCCCTTTCACGTCGATGTTTCTCTCTCCCTTCCACTCTATCTGAACAACAAAATGGAAAAATGTCCTCAGGTGAAGATAAAAAATATATGTGTATATACACACACACACACACACACACACACATATATATGTTCCCTGAGTCTAACAGTCTCTTCTCCCAAGCCTGCCTGCCTCCCGCCCTCCCCTAATTCTGCTCCGCAGCCTCCATTAATGGTAGGTCTTTAGAGACCACCAGCATCCATATTGAGAACTTAGAAGTGAGTATTAGATCTTAAGTCCCTATGACTTATATACCCTCTAGCTGAAGATTTTCCCTGGGAAGTGTATGTGGAAGGTAAACTTTCTCTTATAGTTTGAAAAAAAAGGGGAGGGGGTTCTTGGTTCCCACCTTTATTAGTTTGGTATTGCTGCTGTAACAATTACTATAAGCAGTGTCTTGAAACAGCACGGATTAATTACTTGTGGTTCTGTAGGTCAGGGGTCAGACAAGGTTTCATGGGGTTGAAATCAAGCTGTTGGCAGGGTTGCATTCCCTTCAGGAGACTCTAGAGGGACAATTCCTGATTTTCCTTTCCCAGCTTGGCTGGCGGCCCATCTTCCTCCATCTTCAAAGCAGCAACAGTGGGTTGAGTCCTCACATTGCATCAGTGTGACCTTACTCTGCCTCCCTTCTCCACCTTCAAGGAAACTTGTGATGGCACTGGGCACACCCAGACAATCCAGGAGAATCTATTTTAAAATCAGGGGTTAGCACCTTTTAATTCCCCCTTGCCATGTCAGGTGACGTATTCACAGGCTCCAGGGATTAGGACACGGACGTCATTGGAAGGCCATCGTTCTGCCTACCATACGACCTCAAACACAAACCCACTTAATCAGACTGAACCTGGGTGTTACTGAGGAATTTGTGTTGATGAGTTTCCCAGATGGCCCTTTGTATAATCTCTGTCGTGGGCCCAGCATGATTACCAGAGGTAAAAGTGAGAATAGAGAGCAGTTACAGGTCAAGTGAGGCTGGGACCAGAAGGAGACGGGGCCTCCAGTCCCAGTGAGAGCTGGGGACCGGCCCAGAATGACAGACAGGCCATGAGTAGAGTGTCTCCCCCAACCCTTTTATTTCCTTTTTTTGAGGTACGAAGGTAGAAGGCTGACTGGTAAGGATGTTATGTGCTCTAAGAAAGAATTTCAGAAAGGAAATCAGGGAAATGGAGTGGGGTGGCGGTGTCACCTGAATTCCACAGATGTAGTAGCTATATTGTCTTTAAAAACTTTGGGGCTGTAATATATCTGTACCACAGCAGTACGGAATCCTCCCATCTGCCCCACCAGGGTCGTGTAATGTAATCCCACATTTGTCCTCGCCCCACCCGGCTTCCTATCACACACTGACAGTTGACCCTGGCTGGCTTGGCTCAGTGGTTAGAGCGTCAGTCCTAGGACCAAAGGATCTGGGGTTCGATTCCTGGTTGAGGGCATGTACCTGGGTTGTAGGTTATATCTCCGGCCCCAGTTGGGGCACCTGTGGGAGGTAATTAATAGATTTGTCTCTCACATTGATGTTTCTCTCTCCCTCCACTCCTCCCACTCTTCTCTAAAAACCAGTGGGAACAAATATCCTCAGGCGAGGAATAACAACAAAAACACCGACAGGAGAAACCTGGGACATCCTGACCTACTGCGCAATGAGGGTGTAATCTCGTCTGGCATCTGCAGACTTGCAGCCAGCCTCAGCTTTTTGCTGTTGATCCTCACCCAAGGATATTTTTCCATTCATTTTTAGATAGAATCGGAAGAGGGAGGGAGGGAAACATCAATGGGAGGAAGACACATTGATTGCTTGCCTCCTGCACGACCCTGACTGGGGCTGGGGACTGAACCTGCAACCCAGGTACATGCCCTTGACTGGGAATTGAACCCGTGACCCTTTGGTCTATGGGCCAATGTCCTAACCACTGAGCAAAACTGGCCAGGGCCAGCCTCAGCTCTTACCTGTAGCTTCCTGTCCTCCCATAGCCCAGACTCCATTTTCTTTTCCTGGATTCCTAGGAACAGCCACAGAGCAGACAAGTCTCATACTCTGCCCAAGCCTCATGCTAGTAGCCCACACAGTCAGCTAGTTCTGATTTTCCCCGTTTACTTGAACATGAATAAAACTAGAAACTACCATAAATCTAGATTACATATATTTTTACAAGTAAAAATAGGTAGCCCGGGGCAGTCTGGCTCAGCAGTTGGAGCTTTGGCCCAAGGACAAGAGTTGCAGGTTCGATTCTGGTCAAGGGCACATACCTCGGTTGCAGTTTGGTCCGTCCCTGGTTAGGGTCATGTGGGAGGCAGCCAATTGATGGATGTCGCTCTCTCTCTCTCCCTCCCTCCCTCCCTATCTGAAGATAAATGAAAAAATACCCTCAGGTGAGGATTAAAATTTTTAAAAAGGTACATATATGGAATAGTAGAGGACATAAAGGGAAAAACACGAAAGGAAAAATTTGATTTTATAGATCAAATAAATAAAACTATGAAACACACTGTCAAGAATGGGCAATTAAAGGCATTGTTTTCTGTAGCAGACACATCCCACAACTGCAGGCAGGCCCAGCCCTGGCACCAGGAGTCCACCCGGGGCCAGCTGCACAGGCAGGCAGGGCCAGCAGCCTTTCCTCCATGTCCCTGTGTGCCTCCACTCTGCCCACAACCTCATATTTCATTTCCGACACAGCTAGTATAACACGTTTTATTTCACTGGAAAAATCTGTATAAAGAACCAAACCTGGTTCCATGAAAACATTTACCATAGCTTAAATAAAGATCAAGGAAAGAGGGGGGGAAAGAGGGCCCTGCCTTGTGCAAGCCGTCACGACCTCACTCTTACTGAGGCCCTGTCTCATGGGAAATCTCAAGTGTCCCAGCGGAGTCTCTGCTTGGCCCTCTGCTAAGGCCCTGAGGGCAGCTGGGACATCTGCCTTCTGGCCCACAAATGGCTGAAATCCTGAGAACTGCCACAGTAGTTACCAAAAACATGGATAAACAGAATGCAGAGGGGGCTGCACTGGTGTTTTCAGCTAATCATACACAGGCAGTAACACCTCAACTCGGAAAGAAAAAATATAATTTATCAAAAAATAGTTCTAATGCATAGAAAAACATTTCAATCCTCTAGGGCCCCTGCCCCCTATTTACATTCACACAGCCCACTGAGCAAACCCAGGACTGATGGGAGCAGGGAGGCAGGGCCTCCTTGGTGGGGCATCTCCATCACCCATGCACGAGCAGATGAAGACAGAAGGTACAGGAGAGACTTGTCATGTGCTTGGTTTGTGACAGGGTGAAGGGGAATCACTGGAGGTGGAAGAAGCAGGACTTAGTCCGGGGCCAGCTCTGACTGTGCACAAACTCCAAGACATCTTTGAAAGCTTGGACCAAGGTTCTGCGTCCTTGAGAACCAGAGTGAACAAGTGGCTGACTGGGATGCTTTGTTGCCAGGGAACCAATGTGGTTTATATTCTTTTTCACTTTTTCCCCCCTCACAAGCCAGGTGGATAAGGTGTTGGGTGGGGAAAGTACCATATAACTGAGGTGAGAGGGAAGGGTCACACACAGAGGACACTACACCAGCTTCTTGGCCTCAAAGAAGCTCTTGAGGTGACGCATCTGCCAGATGCCAGTGAGGATGAGAATGACCGTCTGAGTGATGGACCACCACAGGACCCTCTGGTTGGTGCTCTCACTGGTCAGACGAAAGCGCTCTTCACGATACTGTGGGGGACAACAGACCCAAGATTAAATGTGCAAGAAAAATGAGTCCTGGCTATTGTGGGGCCACTCCCCCTCCCACAGGACTACCCAACTGTGGGACCAAACGCCTTCTGTGCTGCCTGACTCCACAGGAGTGCCCCACAGAAGTGACGGGCAGCCACTCCACAAGAATCTGCTGGGACGGAGTCATGCTCCTGACGTTTCAAGCAAGATTCCAAGGTAAAAAGATGATGCCTAGATTTTCACTTTATGCTATAAAGCTTGAAAAGAGCCCCCTACACCAGGGATTTTCAAACATTGTGCCACAAGGATTTTTAAAACATGCAACACGTCTTAGAACATGACTATTTAGGCAGGGGCACTGACCTCTTTTCCCTTCATTTGTCAAATAAAAATATGACAACAGCCAACACAACAATAGCTGTCCTGTGTGAATGAATCAAAATTATACGTTTTGTGTGTATCAGGTCAGCAAAATATATATTTTTTGGTGTGCTGCAGGATTTTAGTAATTAGTTTAAGTGTGCCATGAGATGAACAAGGTTGAAAATTGGTGCTCTAGACTGATACCCTCCATTGCACTCTGAACAGCTCATCAGGAAGTCCCTAAGCAGAAATTCTGGTGGGTGTGGTGGGTATAAAGGTCAACCGCCAGGTCCCAGTACAGTCCGTGCTCTTACCCTCTGGTAGTCCTGTTCCTTTTGGATCTGCTCCACCTGATCGAGCAGCTGCCGGGCTCGGAGCTGCAGCTCCGTCAGTTTGTCCTTGGCTGCAATCTCAGGGTAGTTGTTGGCATGCTCCCCAACCTGGATGTCTAGGTGCACACGCTGCAAGGACACAGGGTTGGGGAGAAACCCTGGGTCGGGGAGCCTCAGACGGCCTATTCCGGACTATGGAATCCATTTTTATCCCCGACTGTGGGACACAAGAGCAACATCTGTTTCCCTAATTATGACTGTGCCACCAAGGGTCACAGATGACGGTGGCGACCATTCAGAACTTTGGAACCCAGGGAGAGATTCCGAGATGCAGCCAGGGGACGTTCTTACCAGCCTGCCGCCGGTGAAGAGCACCATCCTGGTGGAGTTGGAGTGCAGGCAGATCTGGTGGTCGCCGGGGGTGTGGGAAGTGAAGGTGAAGCGCCCCTCCGAGCCGTACTGCCGGGACAGCACCACCTGCAGCACAGCAGGCAGTGAAGGCCCCGCCTGCACTGCTCCCCGGGGGCGGCCGAGGTTCTCCGGCTCCGCGCACCCCACGCCACGGCCTGCAGTGGCCCTACCTTGCCTTCGGGGTCCTTCACCTCCACGTGCATGCCCAAGCCGGGGGTCGAGGGCAGGAAGACCTCCTTCTGCTTATCCCACATCTGGGTGCGGTAGTTCCCTGCGGAGCGACAGAGCTGTCACAGCGCGCCTCCGCGCCCGGCTCCCACACTCCGAAGGGGTCCGCGGCCGCGGCGGGGAACACGCGGGGCCCTAGCCACCCCCACCCCGCCTGACCGATGACCATGGTCTCGTCGGGGATTTCCTCGATGAAGCAGCGCTTCTCGGTCTCGCCGATGTGGAAGTAGAGCCCCCGGACGCCCACCGCGCACAGCGCGAGCAGCAGCAACGCCGGCCGCCTCATCGCGGGTCGCCGTGGGGATTCCACACCTGCCTTCACGCGCCCTCCGCCCAACGCGCATGCGCACGCCTGCGCCCCGCTCCCAGGCGACGCAGTTCAGCCAGATCGCCTAGCGCGCGCGCGCGCGCAGTGACGCTCGCCCTGCGTCTTTCAGGCCAGAGCACGGGCAAGAGGAGTGCGCATGCGCGAGACGCCCGGGGCCGGGGCCCCACCGCCCCTCAGCGACGTAGTCCAGTACCCACACTTGCCAACACGCGCCTGCGCCCCGCTCCCAGTAGACACAAAGCGACCGCGCAGAGCGTACGCATGCGCTAAAATGCCTTTCTACCGCAACCACCTCCGCCCCCCACCCCCTTGCCCCGTCCGCCAGCGTGGTGGGCGTGCGTACACTATCCCGTGAGGGCTGGGACTGAACCCGGACCCAAGGAGTGGAAGCAGGGTGAGTGTGGTCCTAGATAGGCGTGGGAGGGTCAGGCAGGCCTGTTGGACCTCTTAAGGGCTTTGGCAAATGAGAACCCTAGGGGATTTTTGCGGATTAGCGAGCTTAGACTTCAAAATCCTTCTGTCCTGGCAAGATAATCATTGTAAAACCGATGAATGGTACAATACCTTTGTAAGTAATGTTTAATCGGAATCAGGTATTTTGTCTTGCAGTTACTGGAAATTAAGTTTAGAGGACATCATGAGGCAAATCCAGAATATGACAACTGGGACCGACCTTTAAAAAACTAAAGTGAGGCCCTGGCCAGTTTGGCTCAGCGGTTAGAGCGTCGGCCTGCGGTCCGGAGAGACCTGGGTTCGGTTCCCGCTAAGGGCACGTACTTCGGTTGCAGTTTGTCCCCGGCCCTGGTTGGTCGTGCGGGTGGCAGCCACTCGATGTGTCCCTTCACGTCGATGTTTCTCTCTCTCTCTCCCTCCCACTCTATCTGTACAAAAAATGGAAAAATATCCTCGGGTGAGGATAAAAAAAATTAAAAAAAAAAAAAAAAACTAAAGTGAGGAAGGGGGACACTAATTTGGATGCATAATCCCCAAGCGACGTGTGACCTTCGCCGACCTCATGGTGTGGTACAGTCTGCAGAGACTGGTTCCAACAGTGCCTCACTTCCCTGGACCTACGTGCTTCTCCCATTGAGGGTGAGATGTTTTTCCCTCCACCTGATTCTGGGCCTTCAGACTCCCATTTTCATTCTCTTGAAACCCAGCTGACACCCTACCCTACTGAGCTACGTCATTGGAATGAAGCCCTTTTGGACCCTACAGTTAGAGGGGCTGCCCCAGCCAATACATAGCACAAGGACCAGCTAACCCCACCAAAACCACTCAGTGCAATTATGCAACTGGGAAAAAATGAGGACACTATAAACTGACAAAGAAAGGTTTCCAGGATATATTGCTACATTTAAAAGGGAAGGTGCCGGGCCAGTGTGGCTCAGTGGACTGAGTCATCCCACAGACTCTCATCAGAACACACGCCTGGGTTGCCACAAGGCTGGATCCCCAGTAGGTGGATGTGCAGGAGGCAGCCCATCTGTTTCCCTCTCACATTGATGTTTCTATCTCTCTCCCTTCCTCTCTAAAAAAATCAATAAAACATACTTTAAAAAATAAATAAAAGGCAAGGTGCAGTTCTGGCCAGTTTTCTCAGTGGTTAGAGCATCGGCCCTCAGACCTGAGGGCTGCAGGTTTGATTCCTGGTCAAGGGGCATGTACCTGAGTTGCAGATTCAATTTCCAGCCATGGTTGGGGTCATACTCAATGTGTCTCTCACATCGATGTTTTTCTCTCTCCCTCCCTTCCACTCTACCTAAAACCTCAATAAAAAAATATCCTCGGGTGAAGATTAACAACAAAAAAGCAAGGTACAGAAAGATTATGTACAAAATTATCTTTGGAAGACTAAGACTAATAGAAGAGGTTACTTACAGGTCACGTGAATATTCAGTCAGTATACACCACTATGACTGTGCTGATTAAAATAGAAATACTTCTGTTCTACTTGGTAAATTGCCACTCTCCGGTTGCCTCCTGATCCAATAGTTACCCCTGGCAGGCCAGCAGATGAGGTAAGAGACATCAGAGGTGCAAGAGAGACTGCAAACTAGACCTTTTAATACCTTTTTAAAATATATATTTTTTCCCATTCAACAGTTTTTTTGTGGGTTTTTTTTTTTTGAGAGAGGAAGGGAGAAAGAGAAACATCCATCAATTGCTTCCCACAGGCACTCTGACTGGGGATCAAACCCAAAACCTGGGCATGTGCCCTGACTGGGAATTGAACCTACCACCTTTCTGCATACAGGATGATGCTCCAACCAACTGAGCCATAGTAGTCAGAGCCTTTTAATATCATTTTTATTTCCAAACCATGTGTCTATGTTACCTACCTAAAATTGAAATATTATTGTTACCACCATTCTCTATCACAGTACCCTGTTTTATGGACTTGAAACCATCAATTGCTGTCTTGCTGGTTTACCCTAAATGGCAGCTCCACTGTATATTGTATAGATCTTGCCTGTCGTATTCACCTCTGTATCCCCAGCACTGAGAACCAAACTGCTATAAACATTTGTTTAATGAATGTAGAATGTATACTTTGACAAAAACACATACTGAGCAAAAGTCATGAAATGCAGTGAAGACATAAATGTCTACATTAAAAAAAGTATCAACTCAGTTTGAAGAACTAAAACGAAAGGGAAAAATAGTAAACTAAACCCAAAGCCAGAAGAAGAAAGGAACAAATGAAAATTAGAGATAAACAGCCTGGCTGGGTGGCTCAGTTGACTGGAGCATCGTCCCATACACCAAAGGTGGCGCACTCCTTATCAGGGCACATGCCCAGTGGGTTCAGGGTGCATGCAGGAGGCAACTAATTGATGTTTCTCATGTCGATGTTTTCTCTCTCAAATCAACTTCAAAAAATAACATATCCTGCCCTGGCCGGTTTGGCTCAGCAGTTGGGAGTGTCGGCTTGTGGACCAGAAAGTTCTGGGTTGGGTTCCCACTAGGGGCACGTACCAAAAAAAAAAACAAAAAAAACAACATATCCCTGGGTGAGGATTTAAAATAAATTATTTTTTAGCCCTGGCCGGTTTGGCTCAGCGGTTAGAGCGTCGGCCTGCGGTCCGGAGAGACCCGGGTTCGGTTCCCACTAAGGGCACGTACCTCGGTTGCAGTTTGTCCCCGGCCCTGGTTGGGTGTGCGGGTGGCAGCCACTCGATGTCTCCCTTTCACATCGATGTTTCTCTCTCTCTCTCTCTCTCTCTCTCTTCCTCTTTCTCCCTCCCACTCTATCTTAATAAAAAAGTGGAAAAATGTCTTCGGGTGAGGATAAAAAAAACCCCACAAAAATAAAATAAATTATTATTATTATTTTATCCTCACCTGAGGACATTTTTCCATTTTTTGTTCAGATAGAGTGGGAGGGAGGGAGAGGAAGAGAGAGAGAGAGAGAGAGAGAAACATCTCGATGTGAAAGGGACACATCGAGTGGCTGCCACCCGCACAACCAACCAGGGCCAGGGACAAACTGCAACCGAGGTACGTGCCCTTAGCGGGAACCGAACCCAGGTCTCTCCGGACCGCAGGCCGACGCTCTAACCGCTGAGCCAAACTGGCCAGGGCATAAATTATTTTTTAAATTAGAGATAAATTAACAGTAAAAAAGTCCATGAAAATAAAATTTGGTTCTCTAAAAAGATCAACAAAAAGACATAAATCACTAAAATCAGAAATGAAAACAGACACATTACTTCTGACCTTAAAGAAATAAAAAAGATAAGAGAACACTATGAACAATTATACACCGACAAATAAGACAACTTAGATGAAATGGACAAATTCCTAGAAACACACAGATTACCTAAAGTAACATAATAAGAATCATAACTGGTATGGAATGGATCTCTTCCCTGGTGAATTCTACTAAACATTGAAAGAATTAACACCAATCCTACGTAAGCTCTACCAACAAAATGAAAAGGACAGAACACTTCCTAACCCATTCTGGTGCCCTAACCTGTTCTGTAAGACCAGCACTACGAATACTACAGCGAAAAACATAAGAAAATTAAGACCAATAACCCTTGTAAATATAGATGTAAAACTCAACAACAACAAAAAAACAAGAAACCTCAACAAATACTAGTAATCCAAATCCAACAGCATATTTAAACAAGTACACATCATGACCGGGTGGGATATGCCCCATAAATACCAGGATAATTCAACATAAGAAAATCAACCAGTGTAATATAACACAATGATAGAATAACAGGGTAAAAAACACATGATTACCTCAATTGAGAAAAGGCACTTCAAATCCCACACCTTTTCATCTCAAAACCACTCAGAAAACTAGGAATAGAAAGGACCTTCCTCAACATGATAAAGGGTATCTATGAAAATTCCACAGCAAACATACCCAGTGGTGAAAGACTGAAAAGTTTTTCTCTAAGATCAGGAACAAGACAAGGGTGCTCATTCTCACCATTTCTATTCAACATAATACTGGAAGTTCTAGCCAGAGCAATTCAGCAAGAAAAACAAAAACAGAAGACATTCCCTGGCCAGTTTGGCTCAGTGGTCAGAGCGTTGACCTGCGGTCCACAGAGATCCAGGTTCAGTTCCCACTAAGGGCACGTGCCTTGGTTGCAGTTTGTCCCCAGGGGCCCTGGTTGGGCCCTGCGTGAGGCAGCCACTCGATGTGTCCCTTTCACGTTGATGTTTCTCTCTCTCTGTCTCTTCCTCTCTCTCCCTCTCACTCTATCTGAACAAAAAATGGAGAATTGTCCTTGGGTTAGGATTAAAAAAGAAAAGAATACATCCAAACTGGGAAGGAAGAAAAACTATCCTTATTCACAGATGATATGATCCTAAATACAGAAAATCTCAAAGAATCCAAAAGAAAGCTACTAGAGCTAATAAACAAATTCAGTTTAATTTCAGGGCACAAGATCAACACGTAATAATCAATACATCAGTAATTAATCAGAAAAAGGAATTAAGAGACCAATTACACATACAAATGCATAAAATACCTAGGAATAAGTTAACCAAGGTAAAAAAAAATGTGTACACCAAAAACTGCAACACATTGCTTAAAGAAATTAAAGACACAGCCCAGCCGGTGTGGCTCAGTGGTTAAGTGTCCACCCATGCACCAAGAGGTCGCTGGTTTGGTCCCGGTCAGGGCACATGCCCAGGTTGTGGGCCCAATCCCTAGTGGGGGCGTGCAAGAGGTGGCCAATCAACGTTCTCTCTCATCAACATTTCTATCTCTCTCTCCCTCTCCCTTCCTCTCTTTCTAAAAGCAATAAAGAAGAAGAAGAAAAAAAAAAAATGAAATCAATCTAAACGAGGTGCAGCATGTCCATACAATGGAATATATTCAGCCATAAAAACTTCTGATACATGCTACGAGAATGAACCCTGAAACGTGCTAAGTAAAATAAGAGACACATAAAAGGTCAAATACTGTATGAATTCACTTATATGAGATACCCAGACTTGTCAATTCATAGAGACTGAAAGTTTAGGGAGAAGGGAGAGGGGAGGGATACGGGGAGCTTCTGTTAGGCGTGCTGGAGACGTTTTGGAAACAGTGGTGATGGTTGTACAACATTGTGAATGTAATTAATGCCACTAAATTGTACACTTTAAAGGACAAGTACTTTCATATGTACACTTTACTACAATTTTTTAAAAAGGGAAAGAGCCCTGGGCCGGTTCAGCGGTTAGAATGTCGACCTGCGGTCCAGAGAGACCCGAGTTCGGTTCCTGCTAAGGGCACGTACGTACCTCGGTTGCAGTCTGTTGGGGTCGTGCGGGTGGCAGCCACTCGATGTGCCCCTTTCACATCGATGTTTCTCTCTCTCTCCCCCTCCCACTGTATCTGAACAAAAAAAATGGAAAAAATGTCCTCAAGTGAGGATAAAAAGTAAATAAATAAAAAGGGAAAGAAAACAACATACTGAGGTGGTTCCTTGGTTCACTTTCTCTCCATCTCCAGATCCTTCTCCCCAGCAGCCCTGCCCGTACAGGCATTTATACAGTACTCCCTACTTAAAAATAAACCACCTCTCTGTGACTGACCACCATTCACCTATTTCAATTCTAACCATGCGTTTCCACATTTTCACATCTTGAAGCAGGGCTGCATCTAACAATCAGCATGTTTTCTCCGCAGTAAGGAAAACGACGTCTCAAGCCGATGCCCACTTGCATGGGCTGCAATGGCTCGATGCACCGACCGAAGGCCCCGGCGTCGCACAGCGATCCGCGGCCCATCCGGGGAGCCCCAGCTCCACGCCGGCTCCACGTACGGGGCGCGCCGGGGCCGCCGGCTTCCCACGCCATCTCCGCGGCCCGAGGTGCCCTGCCGTCCGCCTTCAGCTTCCCCTCACAGGCCCCCGACACCCCACTGCGGGCCCGCGCGGACCCCTTTCAAGCCCCGGGCCCGCGCACCAAGGTCATCCCCTCGCCGCAGCACCCGCGCCCGCCCGCCACTCCAAGGACGCGCCGCGGACGGGGGCGGCGCGGCTCTGTGACGTCACTGAGCCCGCCCTCGCGGCGGGGGAACTACTCCCGGGGCGGGGCTGCGTGCTGACGCCACACGCCTGGGCGGGGCTGAGAGTTTGGTGCCCCGGAGTGGGGTGTCGGCTCCTCATTCGGGTGGAGCTGAGCAGGAGGCAGGTAAGTGCGCGCTGCCGCCGGCCCGGCCCGGTGTGGAGGCTCTGCGCCCGTCGGGCAGGGCACAGGAGTCGCGCTGGGAGACGAGGCCGCCGCGCCCTTGTTTTCGCCGGCGCCGCGGTGACAGGGAGTGAAGCTGGATGGAGCGGGGCTGACGGGGAAGGGTGGGCGGGACGGGGGTCTGAGGGACGGACGCGGCAGCCAATGGTGCGGCGGGCGCCGCCTGGCGGGCGGAGATTGGCGGGTGCGGGCGCGCGCGGGGCGCGGAGCGGCGCTCCATTGGTCGTGGCGGGCGCGGGGCGGGCCGCGCGGCGGATGTGAGGGAACGGCATAGCCGCCGGGGTGACCCCCAAGGTCGGGAGGCGTCACGTGGGACCGCCCCGCCGCGTCCTTTGCGCGCCCGGAGGGACGGGCGGACGGCACGCCCTTGAAGCGACTGCGGGCCGCGGGCCTGTGGCTCCGCATCCCAGGGCGCGGTGCGTCCCTGCGCTCCTGGGGCGACGCCCTTGAGTGAGTTCCTCGGCAGCACCTCTCGTGCGCGGTGCCCCACCTCTCGCAGACTCCCCGCTGGCCAAACAGTACCCACCGCGCCGCCGCTCCTCGCTCCCTGGGGTTACGCCCTCGCGAGTGGCTCGCCCTGCAGCACCCCGCGGCCTTATCCTTCGGGGGCTTTGGTGGCGGAATGACAGGCGCTGCCCGGAGGAAGACCTTATTCCCGGACCTCTTCCCTCGGCACACCTGCTTGACAGCAGTGTACCTTGTGTACCGACCGCACTTAGTGTAAAACTGGTGGCTGAATGGACAAGAACCTGCCGTCTGCCCTTTGCCCAGAACAGAGGACAGCGGACTCTGGGGCCCAAGGTGCCTCGTTTTGCTGCCTTTGCAGCAAGGACTCGAGGCCCACTGAGTACGTCGCTCTGAGCGGCTTAACTCTCGGAAAGTTGAGGAAGGTCAGAATATGCTATTGTTTTTTAGACTACTGTTCACATTCATTTACTTTTTCTTTTTGCTGTGTGCCCGTAGTGGGAACCGAACCTGGGACTCTGGTCCGCAGGCCGTCGCTCCAACCACTGAGCCAAACCAGCAAGGGCCCTTTTTTTTTCTTTTTAATCTTCATGCGAGGACATTTTTGCATTTATCTTCAGATAGAGAGGGAAGGAGAGAGAGAGAAACATCAGTGGCTGCCACCCACCGGACCGACAGGGGTGGGGGCAAACTGCACCCCAGCCACGTGCCCCTAGCGGAACTGAACCCAGGACTCTCTGGTCCACAGGCCTATACTCCAACCTCTAAGCCAAACTGGCCAGGGCTTTTTTTTTTATCCTCACCCAAGGATATGTTTCTATTGATTTGAGAGAGAGAGAGAGAGACATCGATCAGTTGCTTCCCGTGCCGCCCATATAGGGGTCAAACCTACAACTTGGGTATGTGCCCTGACCAGGAATCGAACCGATAACCTTTAAGTGCACTGGACAATACCAAACCAACTGAGCCACACCAACTAGGGCAATATGTAGTGTTTCTGAGTATATCTCTTTGTTGTTTGTGTTTTTTTTTATCCTCACCCGAGGACATTTTTCCATTTTTTGTTCAGGTAGAGTGGGAGGGAGAGAGAGGAACAGAGAGAGAGAGAGAAACATCGATGTGAAAGGAACACATCGACTGGCTGCCACCCACATGACCTACCAGGGCCGGGGACAAACTGCAACCGAGGTACGCGCCCTTAGCGGGAACCGAACCCGGGTCTCTCAGGACCACAGGCTGACACTCTAACCTCTGAGCAAAACCGGCCAGGGCTGAGTATATCTCTTTGTATAGCTTTGTCGTGGTTGTCTAGATATTACATTATATATACACAACTTATCACAGTCCACTGGTGTCATGATGAGTTTGGATGTAGTGTAGAAATCCTACCTGCATTCACATCCCTTTATTTACTCTTCCCCGTTGAAAAATTGAACTGGTTTCTCTATACACATTTAGAAGCACATGAGATATAATGTACTTTTGGTTTAAACTATCACACATAGTTCAGAAGATTCAAGAGGAGAAGGAAATTATATTTACTCAATATGTGTTCTTTTCGTTCTTTCTTCTTTCATGGTATTGCAAGATTCCTTTTATCATTTCCTTTCTGTTTAGAGAAATTTCTTTAGCTGTTCATTGAGGGTAGGTCTGCTGGCAGCAAATTCTTCATCTGAAAATGTTTTGACTCCCCTTTCATTATTCATGTCATCGTTGGGTCTTTTGTTATGGTCTCACATGTCTCTGAGGCCCTGTTCATTTTCTCTGTCGTTCAGATTGGATGATTTCTTTTATTCCATCTCCGTGTTCACTGATTTTCTTTGGTCTCCTCCATTCTGTGGTTTAACCCATCCATCAAGTTTTCTATTTTGAAATTTCCATTTAGTTCTTTATAGCTTCTATTTCTTTACTGAGGCTTTTTATTTTTCATTTCTTTATTTGTTTCAAGCATGTTTATAGTTGTTCATGGAAGCATTTTGATGCTGACTCCTTTAAAATCTGCCAGATAATTCTGACATCTGTCATTTTGGTGTTGGTGTCTCTAGGTTGTCTGTTTTTGTGATTTCAGTTGAGATCGTCTTTGTTTTTGATGTAGTAAGTGATCTTTGATTGCAGCCTGGACATTTGGGTGTTATGTTATGAGACTGGATCTTATTTAAATCTCTGAGCGGAACAGACTTCCTCTGACACTGATGGGGGATGGGGGTACACTACCTGGTCACTGTTGGGCGGGGGTTGCAATCCAAGCTCCCCTCCCAGCCTCCTTGGTATCTACTGTGTGGGTGTAAGTTCCCTATCAGGCCTTTGTGATTTCATCCTGCCTGGAAAGAGAGGGGTGCTGCCCTGTTTCTGCTGGGTGGGGATAGAAGCCAGACTTCCCTCCTGGCCTCCACTGACATTGTTGAGAGGGGCTAATTGTCACCTAGTGGGAATGGAAATTCACGATCTCTGACGTTACCAGGTGAGGTAGGTGTGGGCCAGTGTTTTCTGTGGGGTTAACTGCTGTTGTTATCTAAAATATTCTGTCCTGTTAGGCTTCCCTATTTCTTGTCTTCTGGCCAGAAGAAGCCAGCTTTCGTTGTGGGTGTTCTGCCTGCATTAGTTGGCATTTCTGGGTTGCTAGCTTCTCCATCATCTAGTCTGGGATATGTGAAGCAAAAAGAAAACCAATAACTCAATGCTGTGTCTTTCTTTGGGCCCCAAAGTCCCTTCCTAGTCTGTCTCCTCTCCATCTTTCAGAGTCTTTGGTTTGTTTTAAACGTAGCATTTCATGTCTTTTGCTGCCTTGGGTGGGAAACGGAAATCCTGTCTATGCTTTTAAGTATTTTTATTTTTCTATATTGATTTTTAGGGAGAGGGAGAGGTAGAGATAGAGATAGAAACATCAATGAGAGAGAATATCAATTGGCCGCCTCCTGCACGCCCCCCACTGGGAATCAGGCCCACAAACTGGGCATGTGCCCTGACCAGGAATTGAACCGGCTACCCCTTGGTTCATGGGTTGATGCTCAACCACTGAGCCACACCAGCCGGGTATGCTTTTACATATTTTAATAAATATTGATAAATGCCTTTGCTTTCCATAAAGAGTTAATTGTACTCTAATCAAAACTGTGGAAAGTGCCTGTTTACCTGCACCCTGGAGCATTGCAACCAGTTTACCTCCCGTCGAGGGTGCAGTCTGGGTGCGGGCATATCAGCCTGCAGGCCCCCCAAACTAAAGCTTGTTTGGGGTTCTGACTGTGGATGTGGAAGCCCCTCCTAGAGATCTGGCCAGCTACCCACTCTGAATTAACTTGCATCTAGGTTTACCTTGGGAACTTCAGCTTTTTAAGAGATCTTTGGTTGATCGTTTTTCTTGGTAGGTTGTAATTCTGTAATTGTAGAAACACTTCTAGAGTGTGCTATCATGTTTGCATCATAATTGCAGGAATGTGAAGGAAACAACACAAATCAAGTGAGGCATTTTAGGTCAGTCACTCTGCATGTTTGCCCCTGGGCTCAGTTGTCATTTCTGTCTAGTGATAGCAAAATGCCTGCGCAGTTGAAAAAGTGATCCTCACTGCCTCCCTGTTTCTAGTTTATGTTTGATGGAGCTACAAGGGAAAGACATTGAGTTTGCAATTCTCATTTCAGAGGGAGAATGGATGCTGCTCTCTCCCTACATGTGCTCTTTGCATCACTGCTGAACTAAGGTGATGGCAGGCAGGGAGTGACGTTGGTGTGTATCGCACTGTCTTCTTGATCCAGCACAGGAGTCTTTTTTTTTTAATCCTCACCCAACGATTTTTTTTTCCATTTATGTTCAGATAGAGTGGGAGGGAGGAAGGGAGAGAGAGAAACATTAACATGAGAGGGCCACATCAGCTGGTTGCCTCCCGCACGACTCTGACCAGGGCCAGGGATTAGCCGCAACCGAGGTACATGCCCTTGACCAAAATCGAACCTGAGACTCATTGGTCCGTGGGCCAGCACTCCAACCTCTGGGCCAGACTGGCCAGGGCCAGCACAGGGGTCCTAATGAGTCCGAAACCGGAAAAAAATATTTTCAGGTTGAGTTGTTCTTTTCAAATGGTTGTCAGGCAACACACGGGTAACAGTCACCTAATGGTACATGCTCTTTTCCCTCCAAGACTCATTTCCTGAGATGCTGTATTCAGGCTGTTTCTGCTGACGTTGCCTCTTTAATTGCCCCTCTGCCGGGCCAACGCGACGCTGATAGGCATCAGTTCATTTATGACCCCATTCTGTGTGTGGGGAGGTGACCTAGGGTGTGTACTGCCTGGCTGGGGAAGGTACAGGCACAGATAAAATTCTGTTTATTTCAGCATATAGTTCCCTATGAGCAGAGCTACAAATCCTTATAAACAAATTTTGTTTGGGTTTTTACTTTTTAAACCTTATTTTTTGTCAAATGTATAAATTTATACACGCATTTTTAAATTAATGTGTTGCAAATAGTGTTACTTTGTGTATTTTATTGGCATTTATAACTTCACTTATGTTTTTCCTGGACATAAACAACTTTACTAAGATATAATTTACATGCCATACAATTCATCCATTTAAATTGTGCAGTTGACTGTTTTCCAGTATATTAGAAGGTTGTGTTGCCATCACCATAATCTAGTTTTAGAGCATTTTTGTGCCCCCTAAAGAAAACACCCTTACCCATTAGTTATATCTCCTCCCTGCTCCTTCTTGCTCCCAGTGCTAGGCAACAAGCCTTGGGGGAAATGTAAACTGAAACTCAGAAAGCTGACCTGTAAAACGGAAGGGGAGTTGCTTTCCTTCTGAACCTCTGAGGTCCCAGTTGCTGTCCTAAACCAGAGTTTCCTGCTTATCCCGTGTTCTTCATGCTTTTCCACTCTCTGCCTTCCCTCCTCCTGACTCTTCAGGTAGGGTGCCTGAAAATGGCAGCCTCCGGGCTGAATGGAATGCGTCTTCCATGGAGTTGGCGTTTTCTGTGCCTCTCAAGCACTCAGTGCTTTCTCTGTGGTGTTTTTAATTTTGTTTTGTTTTTTCTTGTGCTCAAATATAAATTATTTGAGAAATATTTTTCCCAATTTCTCAGTATTCTTCAGAATATAGTGAGTCCTACAGGTGCCCCATAGTTTCCACATAAAGGAGAGAACATCTTTCTCATTTTGCCCTTAATCCAAATCTAATCTGTAATCAATCAATCTTTGTTGCCTTTTCTGGAATTGTTTTATACAATGTATCCACCCAGAGATGTTACATGTCTACATTATGTGATAGTTTGTATCTCTGAAATTAGAACTTACACTTATGAGTGAAGACCTGCCCCTATAGCTATGGAACTTAGGCCCTGGATGTGGAGCTGGTGTGGGTTGACTCTCACGCTCGGGTGTGCTCTCAACTGGAGTGGGGTACCCTGCCACCAGTGCAGTTTGGATTCTTTCTCCTCCATAGCCTGTGAGTTTCTTCCCCAGTAGCTTTATCTGCTAAAATGCTCTTTCTGACTTTTCTTTCTTTTTTTGTGCAGGCAGTTGTGAGAAGCTTCAGGACAAGGATGTTTCACTTAAGGACTTGTGCTACTAAGTTGAGGCCGTTGACGGCCTCACAGACTGTTAAGACATTTTCCCAAAACAGACCAGCAGCCGCTAGGACGTTTGGGCAGATCCGGTGCTACACTGCCCCTGTGGCTGCAGAGCCCTTCCTGAGTGGGACTAGCTCCAATTATGTGGAGGAGATGTACTATGCCTGGCTGGAGAACCCCAAGAGTGTTCACAAGGTAAGACTCGCAGGAGCGGGTCCTCATATGTTTGGAGTCATGGCTGATACAGGCTGGTCATCCAGGTAAGTGTCCTGAGGAGCCCTTGGGCAGGCAGGCAGGCGGCAGCTGGGAGCCTAGCGACTCCAGTGTTCTGCAGCCGCCCAGGCCCAACAGGAACCGCCTTCCCTGGAGGGCGTCACTGGCCTGCTGAGCCTTGCACTCTGGGACAGACAGCAATTAACCCGCAAGGATCTGAAGATGCACTTGCAACACTTCCAGTATCTCCATGAGGCTGCTGGAGGTGGGGACGCCGGAGAAAAGCCAGCGGAAGGATGACCTCAGGACTGCCTAAAAGCATCTCATGTGATGTCAGTGTCATTCACAATCTAGATCATTATGCTCATGGTTTTCTCCTGTATTTGGAGGTAAATTCCTCTGTGCCATCTGTGAGGTGTGTCCTCCTCACCGCCCTCTTCTCGCAGTATATTTGGTACAAGGTACACCCAGTGGCAGAATTTCTCAACAGCATCAACCAGTGGAAATTTTGGGTTTCAGTGACCATGTCTTTGGCTTTCAGGTCAGGCAGTGGCCCAGCGCAGGAGCTGGAGGGTGGGGCCCCAAGCTGCTCCGGCTCCTCGGGCCTGGTGGTGGGTGTGGGGGATTGCAGCGGATGGTTTGTGGAAGGTGCTCGGGTCGGCAGAGATGTGTTCCATGTAGGCTGGCATCATCACTCTCGACTGTCCTCTATCTTCCTTGTGAATCTTGGGGTCGCACCGTCAAAAGGTAGCCTGCTTCCATTGGGCCCTGAGAATAAGCTTTATGTTAGTGACATTGAAGACTGGAAACATTTGTGTGACTATAGGAGCCACCAGCCCTGTCTCACCAGAAATGCCACCTCTTTGAACATCATGGCTCAACCAAGGAGGATGTTTAGCTGGGTCCTTCCTGTTTCTTTGGCCGCCTGAGCCTGGTTGGGCCTGATTTCCCGAGAGGCTCTCTGGAGCTTTCCCCAGGCTGTAAACAGTGGGTGGTCTGGAAGGAAGTGCTGTGAAGACAGCCCTGCCCGGGTGTTGGAAGCCAGAGGTCTCGAGACCAGACTGTCATCTCGTGCTCAGGCCTATCCCTTGCCTGCCTTTTCCTGAATATGACCTCTTAATGGAACCAACCAGGTCTTCTTAAATTATAGTCGATTTTAGAGACTAGCACCTGAATGTATGTGAGGCTCATCTGTGACAGGGGTGTTGGAGGGGCATATGGGAACGTGCGGCCCCTGGACAACCGGCCATAGTCCTTTCTCTAACAGTTCAGTGGGGCAGAGACCTTTCGCACCCTCCACAGGTCCAAAAGGGCAGAGCTGAGGCAGCTTTTCTTCTCTGACCTTGGAGTTCTTGGATACTTTGCTTGCACATCATAGAGAGAAGGTAGTGAAGTTGTGTGGAGATGTTCCTCTCAGAGCCTACCTATGGTTTTAAAACAGTGGCATTGCTGTCATCGAGCATAAATCCGTTTGGTTTCTGTCACTGAGGAATACCCAAGCAGAACTCCCAATTTTAACTGCTTCCATGGTGACAAGTCAGGCAGACCTGGATCCCAGTGCCTCCTGGACGCAGTGGTGGGCAGTGCTCTGAGCTGGGTCTGGATGTGGCCCTGCCCGTCCTCAGCTGGGGATGGTTTGAGCAAGGTCTTGCAGTGGATGGGGGTCTGAGGCCAGCACTCCACGTCCCGCGTGCTGTCCTTCGAGATGCTTAGCCCTAAAGCAGGAACCTTTTGTGCAGGTTCTGTGGGGGTGGGCAGTCGACCACCAACCTCTCTCACCTGGGCATCCTGTACAGATGGGGCAGTCACACACTGTGTTTTCAGGACGTGTGTGGAACCCAGTGATTAGCACAGAGAGGACGCACTGGGAGGATTGAGAGACCACCCAGTGCTCCTTTTGCTGCACAGTAGTGATGTGAACTGACCGTGTGCACAGGAACCTGGTGCTGGGATGCCAGGCAGGACTTGCCGCACTTTCTAACCCAGAAGAGCCCTGTGTGCAAGGTGTCTGGGAAGACTGGTAACCAACTGTCCTTGGCCTGAGGAGTCATTGCCTGTCCATTTGTTCGACTGAACTGGCCAAACCTTGTTTTGAGCTGGCCATGCACCTGTTTTCCTTGGTGACTTGTTGCCTTGAATCTTCTATTTGTAAGCAGTTAAAAAACTTTGTTAGGATCAGAACTTAATGTGGTTGTCTGCTGCGTCTGGCGTCTGAAGTGGACCAGCAGTCATTAGTTTAACAGTGTGTGATGGCCTTTGAACCTGGGGTTTGGTCCATTCCAGGGTGGCCATCAGGTGATCGGGGTGTGTCTGTGGGCAGGTGGGACAGATTCCTATCAAAGGTGGAGACAGCAAGACAGCCACAGAAGTCCAGAACCCAGAATCCTAGAATTTGGCAGCTGGTACAAGCATTAGTAACCGAGGATTGAGTTCTGATCACCAACTTCTCGTCTCTGCAGGTGCTTTTTAAAGTGCAAGGAGCTGTACAGGTACAGAGTGTCCTATGTAGCTTGTGCTCCTGCTTTTGTAGGCGAGGAGCCAGGCACAGAGAGCCCAGGTGCCTTCCCTGTTTTCTCCCAGCCTGTGGTGAGGGAACAGGGACTCCCAGACCCTAGAGCTGGCAGCAGGCAGGCCCGTCGTGGGAGGCTCTGTCGTGGGCGTGGCCCTATTAGGTCACACACTTGAGCTGGCTGACGTGTTCAACACAGTGGGGCCTTTGAGGCCAGCGAGGGACACCAAGTGGAGTACTGGCAGCCCTCCAGCACTGACGCCTCTGTGCAAGTCTGATGTGAGCTCAACAGGAACTTGGTGCTGGCAGTAAACAGACAAAGTCCGTCTGCCTCCCGGAACCACTCACACCTACATTCCCTGGTTAGCAGTCCCACACCTGCTGAGGTCAGCCTCTCTCTGAGGTGGAGTGAGACCTCTGGACCCTGGGTGTTCAGGGTTCATACAGCTGACACCACACACAGCGCCGCACCTGACACCTGCCTGTCAGTCTGCCGGCCCCATGGAGTTTGAGCCTGCTGTGCGCTAGACGGACTCCCTTAGGGCATTTCAGAGGAGAGGGATGCTGTGGCTGCAGGGAGACCTGTCATGGTTCTCGAAGGTCTGGGAGGCTGGGGGAGAGCAGAGGAGGAGCAGTAGCCTTTGAAAGCAGAGCTCCGTGGACTACAGTCGTCCCTTGCCACTTGGCACTTCGACTTTCGTGGCTTCACTCTATCGTGGTTTTTTTTCAAATATATTCGTTAAAAAGTTGACCGAGACAGTGAAAATGATACAGCACGCACTCGGTTGTCTGAGTCAATTATACACCCCTGTATTATAATTAAAATGAAAATGACTGTACGTATGGACTGTAGGCCTATGTATTCAAGCACCCAGGAACTCTTCAACACCAGGGGCAACCACTAGAGTGGAACAGATTAACCGTGATGAATGAGGGACGATTGTACACTTAAATGCTTTCATTACGTAAAATTAAAGAGTCCTGGTTTCATTTCAACCAGAATGTTAGTTACCCTTATTTACACTTAAAATCTGTCATGTTTTGGTTTAATTCATTTTGGCAACAAGTTCATGGCCTTAAACTCACGCGAGGTGGCTGCAGGCCCACACCTCTGAGGATAGGCTGTCTCTACCCCACTCCCTCTGAGCCCCTAGCCAGGCACAGGTAAGGAGCACCATAATACTGCCCACTGCCTGGCTGCCCAAGACCTGGTCCCAGCCCACCTTCCTGGTCCTGTCTGCCAGCTCACCCACGTGGCCGCCTATGCCCGTGTGACCATCTTTCCCTTGAGCTCTTCACAGTCGGCTACCCTCCATGTATTGTCCTCAGCACTGGCTCTGAAATGACATGTCCCCTCGACTGCCCTGCTGCTCCCAGAGTGAGAAGCTCCTCATAGACCTTCCTGTCCCCAGACCTCAGAGCACTGCACAAAGGCAGCCTCGGAAGATGTCTGTGGAGTGCTGCTTTTGAGCATTCGTGCTCATTGATGCACACAGCTGGGGAGACAGTCCCTTTGTACCAAGAACACGGCTGGACCCTGTGGCCCTGTCAGGTGGAGGTGCTGGCCTGCTGGGTAGGTACCTTCCCTTGCGCTCCTGAGGCCAAGGTCCTTCCTCCTTCAGGCTACACTCCTCTCACTTCTGGTGGGCAGAGGAATGAGTGCTTACGTCGGGCTGTTGGTCCGTCCAAGGCCTCGCAGGGGGTCCCTTGCCTTACTGAGTTAGTTGTGGGACAGGCAGATACAGAGGTTGGGGCCTGTGAGCTCGGTGACTATGTGTCTTGACTTGAGCGTGGCAGGCAGCAGCTAAATCTGCCTGTGGCACACCTGCAGGAGGAGTGCCACCAGCCCAGCTCCGTGGGACACAGGCCCAGGGCTGGCCTTGATTTTACCTGTTCTAAATTGCGGTGCTCAGGTTTTGACAAGTGTACACAGTCAAGCGCTGTCCATCACCCAGATGAAAAACTTTCAGGTCTTGGTGGGAGGGAGCTTACTGTTGTTGGGGTGGGCTCCTCATTTTAGGGCTGGGTGGGTGGGGCACACCTGAGTGCAGGTTCCCATACCAGCTGCCTAGAACATACCGAGGCCTGGTGGAGGTCGTGCGGTGAGGTGAGTCACAGGAGAGGTGGAAGCACATTCCTGGTAGGCTCTCTGCAGGCCCCTGTGCCACGTTCCTCTGCAAATTAGAAGGTTAGATGGCAGTTGCCCCTCCCGGGGCTGGGTTGGAAGGAGCCCTGTGCCCTGGGGCAGCAGCCCTGGAAATTCATTTTATTTCATAGTCCAGTGGCAGTGAGAATAGTCTTTCCCTCCTCATCCTGAGCCAGATCCCTGCCTGGAGGCCCCGAATCTTTCCAGGAACGGGAGGTTGGCACTGCAGGGGCTCCAGGCACCCGAACAGCGTTTCCCTCCTCTGTCACTGGTCATTGGTGCTTTTGAAGGGAGGGTGACACTGGGCCTTTGTGTGGCATTGGCTCTGGCTCTGTCAGCAGCTGGGGCCATCAGGATGATGGGCGGCCATGTGGCTGGGGACCCTTGGTCCCAGGACTTGCTGTTGGGTGACTGCCCTGTCCCTGGACACACCCTCGGCGTTCTGTGAGGCAGGAGACGACCACCTGCTGTGAAGCTCGAAGACAGAGCGTCCTTTCCAGCAGCTCCTTGGTTTGGGGTCAGGCCCAGCCCTTCTGCTTTCTCACAGCCCTGGGTGTCCAGAGCAGGCCTTTGTTTTTCATTTAATCTTCGCCCAAGGATCTGTGTTACTGATTTGAGAGAGATGGGAAGGGAGAGAGAGAGAGAGAGAGACATCAATCAGTTGCCCAACCAGGGACTGAACCCGCAACCTAGGTATGTGCCCTGACTGGGAATTGAACCGCCAACCTTTCAGTGTGTGGGCCAGCATTCTCCAACCAACTAAGTGACACCGGCCAGGGCCAGAGCAGGGCCTTCTGTAGATACAGGCAAGAGCAGCTTGCCGTTGGTTCTTGCCTTTCAAGGCTGGGCTGGCTCCTGCCCCCATTACCTGCCATGATGGAGGTGCTCCTTGTAGGCCAAGCCCTTGGTCACTGGAGGCCAGAATGGAGGGCAGGGAGAGCTGCTCCCAGGCCCAAGGGAGCTCACTTGGGCCTGCTGTCAAAGCTCTAGGAAGACAGGAATGTTTGGGGTGTCCTGTCATATATCCTTGTAATGAACTAGGCAAGGAGCCCAGTAGGGGCTTTGCCTTGCCGTGGGCAGTGGACACTGAGGTGGCCTCTGCCTTCTCTCAGGAGCGTCAGCCCTGCTGCTGACGGACATGGTACCTCTCGTGCAGCAGAGCGGGGCTCAGAGCGTCGGTGGGAGCAGCCTGATAAATGGCGCAGAGGACGGTCTTGGATGCTGAGTCCCACCCAAGGGGCAGAGGGCGACCCGTGGCAGGTACATAGTACAGGTGCTCTGCAGTTGGCATGTGGCTGGTGCCAGCCCAGAACCCCAGAGCTCTAGCCCACCATCTGCCAACACGCTGACAGTCAACCAGAATAGGGAAAACAAGAAGACCTTGAATAATGAGATTTAGTAAAACATTTAAAAATTACTATTAAGAGATAATTCAGTTTTTATTAAGGTAAAAGCTCTGGTTTTTGCCCTGGCTGATTTGGCTCAGTGGTAAGAGCGTCGGCTCATGGACCGAAGGGTTGTGGGTTTGATTCCCAGTCAAGGGCACGTACCTGGGGTGCATGTTCGATACCTGGCCCTGGCCCTGGCCCTGGTTGGGGTCGTGTGGGAGGTAACCAATTGATGTGTGTCTCTATCCCTTCCTCCCTCCCTCCATTCATTCTATCTAAAAATCAATGGAAAGCTATTTTCAGGTGCGGGTTGGCAACAAAAACAACACTCTGGCCCTGGCCAGCTTTGCTCAGTGGTTAGGGCATCAGCCTGTGGACCAAAGAGTGGTGGGTTTGATTCCGGTCAGGGGCATGTACCTGGGATGCGGTTTAGTCTCCAGCCCTGGTTGGGGTCGTGTGAAAGGCAGCCAGTCGATGTGTCTCTCTCACATCTATGTTTCTCCCCCTCCCCCCACCTCCCACTCTGTCTGAAGATAAATGGAAAAGTATCCTCGGGTGAGGATAAAACAACAACACTCTGGTTTTTAGCATGTTCGCCATGTTGTACAGTCGTCACCCAGTAGTGGGATTTGTGTAAGTGTCTGAGAAGGAGGAACATGTTCTAACTGCAGAATGATTTGGGCATTTGGCAAAGCTCCCCTAGAAACAGTAAAGCAAGAGGCCAGACTGCCCTGTGTGAGGAGGGTGCCCCAGGCCTCCACTCACCACAGCAGGTTTTCTGGTTGGTGATTGGCGGCAGCAGGCAGTGGGCTCGGGGACGGTGGAGTCAGGGACAGCGCTGGAGGCCAGCCTGCAGGAGCAGGAGACCCGTGTGCCACCCTGACTGCCTCTGGGTGGCCTCGCTAAACGGGCGAACGCAATCAAGTGATGCTTCCCTCCAGGTTCTTCAAAAAACCTAATCAGTCTATTGATGGAATGACCTTAGAAACCGGAAAACGTATGGCAGAGAAGAAAGACAGTGTTTTCATGTTTCCAACCTTTCTGGTTTTTAATAGTTGGGGTTTTTGTTGGCATTCGAATTTTATTAAGCTTTAGTTTCTCTAACCTCTGAAATGTTTTTATTTAAAACCCACATCTTTGGCCCTGGCGGGTTTGGCTCAGTCGTTAGAGCATCAGCCCATGGACCAAAGAGTCGTGGGTTCGGTTCTGGTCAAGGGCATGTACCTTGGTTGCGGTTTGTCCCTGGCCCTGGTTGGGGTTGTGCAGGAGGCAACCAGTCGATGTGTCCCTCTCACATCCATGTTTCTCTCCCTCCGTCCTTCACACTCTATTTGAAGATAAATAGAAAAATGTTCTCAGGTGAGGATTAAAAAACAAAACCCACATCTTTGTATGAGATGAATAAACTATTATAGTTTACGGTGCCTGTGCAGTTTATAAATTGAATCATTCAAACGTGAAATAGCCAAAAGTAGTAGAAAAAGAAGTAAATGAGTTAGTTTGATTAGCACAGAGAAAATTGACGCTAACACGGTTAGGCTCTTACTGCCTGCAGGTGGTGTGCTGACTGTTGTCACCTGCACAACTCGGTCTCTACAGCAGACCTGGGAAGAAGACACGTTTTTCTCTTCACTGAGCCCGGACATTAGGGACTGTGCCGAGATTTCAGGGCTCAGGAAAAGTTCTCCCTCTGACCATGTTCCCAGAGCCCTCAGCTCCTGAGCGGCCCTCCCGAGGATGGACGACTTGGTTTCTCTGTCCGCGCCCCGGGCTGCCTCTTATACAAGGGCTCGTTGTGTGTGGGGTTTAGAGCACAGGCAAACCTGGAGGCTGTGTTGAGGGGTCAAGATCAGGACACACAGGCAGGCAGGCTTCTGTCCTGCCTCAGCCTTTGGGGTGATGATGGAAGGGCAGCCAGAGGGCATCTGCGTCCTTAATGTGGGGCATCCTGAAGGGTGAAGGAGGCTGCCCAGCCTCCAGGAGACCCACCCTTTGGGGGTGGAAGCAGCTGACCCGAAAAGGAGGATGTCGCCCAACCAGGACATAACCTGTCTGCCAAGAACAATTCTTTTCTGTGCAGTGACATGTGTTCCTTCTCTCTTCAGTCCTGGGACATTTTTTTCCGAAACACCAATGCTGGGGCGCCCCCAGGCACCGCCTACCAGAGCCCGCTTCCCCTGAGCCCGGGCGCCCTGTCTGCTGTGGCCCGAGCACAGCCCCTGGTGGCCGCCCAGCCCAACGTGGACAAACTGGTGGAGGACCACCTGGCAGTGCAGTCTCTCATCAGGGCCTACCAGGTAAGGCGGCACTGCTCCTTCCCAGGTGTCTTCACTCCAGCCCTGCAGACACGGGTGCTCTCTCCCTGCCCCGGGCCGAGGGACACAGAAATGAAGGGTCAGGACAGGTGCAGGACAGTCTCGCCGTGGAGCCATTCTCTGCTGCCTTTAGCGCAGCCTGGACATGGCTCCTTGTTTGTGTCCATAGGTGGCTAGAAAGACTTGTGGGCAGGGAGACTGCCAGTCAGTGGGAAGTGCCAGTGAGCAGGAGACAGTGCTTCCCATGCCAGCCTCCAGCACCCAAGTATGAGGAGGGAAGGGGCCTGCAGGGTGTGGGGATAGCGTGCCCACGGAGTGGGGACAGGCAGGTGAGGGTACTCCAGTTCTCAATCAGTCCCCTGGAGGAGAACTGGTGCCGGCCTGTCTGCGAGCCCAGGAACCTTGCCCTGGGTAGCTGCCTGGCATGGGGAAGAGCCCGAGTCCAGACCTGGGCTTCTGGTCGGGGAGCAGATATCTCGGGGAGCCATCAGGACCCAGGCTCCCCTGCTTGCTGCCTTTGCGTTGTCATCACGCAGCAGGGGCATCGTCTGCCTTCAGACGGGTCAGGTGTCAGGACAGGTGCACGGGGAACAGCGGCAGGTAGGGTGCTCTCCCCAAGGAAGGGAAGGCAGCAGGCCAGGCCCCACGGGCTGCTCGGTGGGCGTGGCTGTAGAAGGCGGCCTTGCACTCAGCCTGGAGCAGGCGTCTGTCCCGCGGTTATGCAGAGCATGAGTGCCCTCCCTGTGCCCACTGGAGCAGGTGCGCAGGGCTGCCTTCTCCTGCGCTCAGGCAGTTCAGGTCAGAGGCGAAAGTCCCTGTCATAGCATCCTTCCTCTGACACACCCGCACGGCCTGACGCTGCTGCATCTCCTCCTCAGGGTCCTTTCCTGTTTTGAGCTGCGTTGGTGTCACACTGAGTGACAGTCCCAACAGAGCCCATTCCCATTTATCCAGGGAAACTAAGAGTCCCAAGAAGTGGGTCCATTTAGACTCCCAAATTCCTTATAACCTGAGAATTTGTCCCTTTTTATTAAAGAGCCTTTGTGTGCAGTAGCGCTGGGAAAGTCGACTGTTCTCAGGCCTTTACAAATTAATCTGGTACTCGGGTTCGCTGCTCTCAGGGAAGGTTTGACCACATGTGATTTTACCCCACAGCCCGGAACCTGCTTAACCACTGCTTGTGTTATTACTTCCAGGTCAGGGGTCACCACATTGCAAAACTTGATCCTCTCGGAATTAGTTGTGTAAATTTTGATGATGCTCCAGTAACTGTTTCTTCAAACGTGGGTGAGGATTAATATGTAAACGCTCATTTTAATGTAATTTTACTTTTTTTGCCCCTTCCCTCTTTTTTTTCTCCTGTCCTTTTGTGTGTGTCCTTCCCTCTCCATTGCTGGCCCTTTCGTAGATACGAGGGCACCATGTAGCACAGCTGGACCCCCTGGGAATTTTGGATGCCGATCTGGACTCCTCCGTGCCCGCTGACATTATCTCATCCACAGACAAACTTGGTGAGGGCCTGAGAGCGGCCAGCGCTGCGCTGCTTAGCTCCGTGTCCCAGCCTGTGACAGCCAGACACCCCCGATGGGAGGGGAGACTCTTAAGTTTCCTTTGTTCTGATCACTTGAAATTTATCAGTCATTCAGCCTTAGTGTGCTGGGGCAAGTTATTTTTATCCCAGCTTCTCAGACAGATGACATGAGCTTAATTGTCTGAGTCTGGAATTGGAAAGTGAAATTTGGGACAGAAAAGGTTTGGGACACAGGGAAGAGGATGACCCACCTGTGCAGGCAGATGAGAAGATGATCAGAGCCGTGCGCCTCTGGCTCCAGGTTCCCGCTCGGTGCAGGACCACCTGTGTGGGGGGAGGCCATGCTCAGCCCTGTGCCACACTGTCCCTCTGAGCAAGGTGTGTACTGCCTCTGGCAGGGCGCATTCCAGAGCAGGTTGTGCAGCTGGGGGTGTCGACTCTTAACTGCCAGTGATCACACTGAGGAAACTTCGGGAGGCGCCCCGGTGCACAGGGAGCCACTTGTGAGGTGCACAGGCCGTTGTCACAGGCACCCTTGCTGTTGTCCAGGGCGTGGCTGGGCTCACACCTGCAGTCGCTTCCTTGAGTTAATCTGCTCTAAGTCACCATGCTGCTAACCCATGCTAAAGATGATGGCGTGACTAATTCCGAAGTGGGCGGTGTCGCAGAAACACTGCATGCTAATGAGACTGACAATTATCTCCCCGGCTAATGCTGCTCTTGCGAGGGGACCTCACCCGTCTCCTCTGAGTAAGAATGCTCAGTGCTACCTGGGAGGTCAGACACTAGTCAGGTAAGGCTGGGTGCAGACCACACGGGCTCTGGCCTCTGTCTGCGGCATCATCTCAGAAACAGCCCTGGGTGGTATGGGGCTTCCTCTGCGCGGTGTCTGCGCTCTAGAAGGGGAGCCCTCCTATGCGTAGCAGGACAGGGCAGTTCAGGTTGTAGGCAGGCACACAGTGAGTCCCGCTGCTTTCTTCAGGGTGACAACGTTGTGCTCTTGAAGTGGGCTTCTCTCTAGGTGTCCCCCAGGACACAGCCCCTCCTCCTCCTCAGGATGTAGCCCTGCAGCACCCAGGCCCAACACCACCTCAGTACCCGTGTCCTCCCAGGAGAGGACCTGTGTGTCACATGGCAAAGCCTTCCAGCAGCAGGGAGGGTACGTGGGAGGTGGGCTCTCCTCCCAGAGCATCCAAGGGTACCAGTTTCTTGGTACCAAAATGGACCTTTTTTAGAGGTTCTGAGCTCATTAGAACTGCCTGGGGAGCCTGGAGCTCCCCTCTGTCCCCCTGGACACTGCTTAGGAAGGGTCAGTGCAGCTGCCAGGCACAGGTGGTGCATGTGAAGGGAGAGAAGTCCGGCCTGTGGACCCTGCCCAGCTTCTCAGTGCAGGGCCTCTGTTCTTTCTAGGCCGTGTGGCCTTGCTTTGCGTCTGCTCTGGAACGGTGCCCCTGAGTGCATCTCGCAGTGAGGGGGCCTGATCACTAGGGGACACCAGCACTGGCCCCACAGCGTCCTGAGCTCAGTGGAGGAAGAGATGCTGCCTCCTCTGGCCAGGAGTCCTCAGAACCACTTGTACAGAGTCGGGGAGCCACGCCCCACCCTTTGCAGAAAAGTGCACTTTTAAGTTTTTTCTTTAGCTACAAAAAAAAAGAGGAAATAGTGTAAATTCAGTATGCATTCGAGTCTGTAAGAAAGTTAGTCTTGAATTTCATCCTGGATGTGTGCAGGTGAAGAAAACCGTGGTCCAGCCCTCAGGTCTGGCTCTGGTGGGCGCCTGGCTCCTCATCTGTCAGGTGGTTTCAGGATTAGCTGAGCTCAGAATGGAGCCTGGGTCCCTGAGCCCTGCAAGGCCATGAGCCAGCGTAATGGGCACAGTCTAGGGAGGGGCTGTTGGCCGTCTGGTAGAAACAGATTCAGAAGCTGAGCCATGGGGCCTGAGTCACACAGGGGTAGGGATAGGGGTAGGGGTGAGGCCTGGGTGCGCCCTGGTGATGGGGTGCAGTGTCACTGCATGTGGGAACGTGGCTCACCTGCGGGTCCGGGGTGAGTGAGTGGCTGCTGTGTCCTCAGCCCCTGCCACGCCTCCTGGGCTTCTCACTTTGTGGGAAACAGGCTCATGGGCGCACACACCCCACGCGTTTAGAGCACATCTGTGGTGCGAGCAGGGCTTCTGGCCATGCAGAATTTCTTCACATGGGATGTGGATTCTTCCTGCCCAGTTCTGGACCTTTTCTGACCAGTTTTGAGAAGGCTGGGAAATGCTGGCCCAGAAATTGTCCCGGCCCCTGAAGTCAGGTGGAGAAGTGGGTCATTGACAGGCTAGGCAGCCGAGTGTCCTGGATGCTCTCAGAGGGACGTCAAGGACACTGCCTGTGCAGGACTCACTGTGAACGCAGCACAGCGGCGTCGAGATGGAGGGCTTGCTGCAATTCTAGTTAAATTCAGTTAGTTTAGGACAGTCCATGAGGAGTAGGTTGTGTTCTGTTACGGTGAAGGTGACTGCTAGGAACAGGTGCCCTTTCTCAGGATGTGTGTTTGGGGCCAGGTGCCAGGTGCCAGGCTGTTCCTTCCACCCACCTCCCAGGGGAGGGTGGGCGCTCTGCGGTGAGCCCCTCGGTGTCCTCTTTGCTGGAGCTGAGCCAGTCCTGGCGTTGACCCTCTGGGTTCTGGCCAAGCTGAGCTGGCCTTGACTGGTCTGGGGACCTGGAGAAAGTTCCCTTTAACTCTTGTCCTCTGTCTCCTCTTTCACGTGCAACATTTCATTAGATTCCAACTTTAAAATGCTGTCTTCAGCCCTGGCCAGTTTTGCTCAGTGGTTAGACCATTGGCCCATGAACCAAAGAGTCTCAGGTTCAGTTCTGGTCAAGGGCACATACCTTGGTTGTGGTTCGATCCCCGGCCTTGGTCAGGGTCTCAAGAGGCAACCAATTGATGTGTCTCTCTCACATCGATGCCCCCCACCCACCCCCGCCGACTCTATCTAAAGATAAAAATGGAAAAATATCCTCAGGTGAGAATATAAAAAGAAAAAAAATGCCATCTACAGTAGCCCCTGAATAAACGCCACAGTTGGACTGCCCAGGTGACGGTGATCGAGGCTGACTTTGCATGAGACTCAGGTCAAGCACAGCCGGAAACATTCTCTCATGGGAGGGACGGCACCGCAGTGTCTGCACACTGCCAGTCTTGGGAAATGAACTTGAGTTAAACAGTTAGAAACCCAATTTAAAAGTCCAGAATTGTCCTGGCCGGTTTGGCTAAGTGGTTGGAGCATCGGCCTGCGGACCAGAGAGTCCCGAGTTCAGTTCCCACTAGGGGCACTTACATGAATGGATGGATGGATGGAAGGGGCACATACATGGATGGGTGCACGGACGGACGACCGGAATTGTAACATTTTAGCTGCTTAACTGAATCAGTTCACCCCCAAGACCGTCCCTTGAGGGCTGGGAGAATGAGGTAAAAGCAGTTGGTTTTTAATCAGTTTGCATAACTTGAGAGCAGTGGCGAGCAGTGGACTTAGTGACTACTGGCTGTTGTGAGTGGCAAGCTGGGTTCAGGCTCCTCAGTGACTCGGGGGGGGCCTGGGCTCGGGCTATCCTCCATCCTGGACGCCCAGGCCCAGTGTCCGTCCTGCCTATGCCTGCCGTGTGCTCAGCTGGGGCACAGTGGTCCAGCCCTGGCCCCCATATCCAGCAGGGCCTCCTGTGTGCTCAGCAAGAAGTACTTCTCTCAGGTGCTCAGGTGCTGGGGACCCTGTGTGCTCTCGCAGGTGACAGCTAGAATTTCTCCTTAGCTCTCCTTTGGTTTGTGTCTTTTGTTTGCATTTTATTTTTAAAAGCTAAAAAATAAAGCTAAAAAGCAGTTGCCTTGGCCTGTTTGGTTCGGTTCCCGCTAAGGGCACGTACCTCGGTTGCAGTTTGTCCCCGGCCCTGGTTGGGTCGTGCAAGTGGCAGCCACTCGATGTGTCCCTTTCACATCGATGATTCTCTCTCTCTCTCCCTCCCTCCCATTCTATCTGAACAAAATATGGAAAAATGTCCTCAGCTGAGAATAAAAAAAAAAAAAATACAGCAGTCTTCTCCCATCTGCAGAGATATGTTCTAACCCCAGTGAGTGAACAGTATGTGTACTGTTTTCTCCTGCACACCCACCTGGGACAAGTCTAATTTATGAATTAGGCACAGTGAGAGAGTAGCCACAATGACTGACGGTGAAATAATTATAACAGTGTGCTGTGGTAGATGTTAGGAGAACGTGGTCCCTCTTCTCTCTGATAATGAAGGTGGCTGCGGAGTGACCAGCAGGCATGCATGCTGAACAGAGGAATGAGTCACATCCCAGGGAGGACAGAGCAGGGCGCACAGGCTCCATCACACTACTGAAAACAGCATGCGACTGGGAACTTACAGACTGTTTATTTCTGAATTTTTCTATTTAATATTTCTGGGCACAGTTGACCTCTGATAGCTAACCCACAGATAAGCGGGGAGCTGCTTGCTGTACAGGTGAGCAAGTGTGAACGTCTGATCACTTGCCTTTAGACTTGAACAGATGGTGTGTTTGCAGGTGGCCCCACAGCATGGTCCTGTGTCCTGATTCTGAGGACTGAAGGAGAGCAGGGTCTTCATTCCCACCTTGGGCAGAGCATCTGCCCAGCAGAGCGTGTGTGTTCTGTCTCAGAGCCACTGGCTCCAGGGTTTTGATGGGTGTTGCTGTCCCCACCCAGGGGGCCTGAGGAGTCCTTGCATCC